GTCGGATAACGTCAAGCATTTTGTTTTAGTGCTCCGGGTTTGATTGTGTGTCTGTTTTGTATCTGATAAAAATATAACCATTTTTGCTTTGTTTTTGTTTAAAATTTAAAATTTGCATATGTATAAAATGAAACATTAATTTAATAAAAGTAATAGTTCCATATATTTCATCAATGCTTGTTAGTAATTATCAATATTGTCCACGAACTTTACGGACAACCCTCGTACTAGTATATGCAACAGGGGTCAACATCAAACCCTATGTCAGCTTAGGTTTGTAGAACAAAGATATGACGGAACGCAAACACAGGAGATCGGACAGAAGTTAGAGACCAAAGGAACCACATGTAAAGCCAAGACATGTAAGATATGTGTAATTATTATCAGGAACCGTCAGTTATAGCTTACAGAACAGTTGTTAAAAGTTAAGCGTATTAGAAGCAGCAAAAGCCCCTATACTGTCGTGAAATAAAAAAAATAATAATAATACATGCAAGCACATTTTAAAACTTATGATCCAATAATCTTATAAGAGCGCTGGTAAACATTTAAGCTTTCATGTTATTATATAAACCAAGAAAGAAGTACCAAATGTTGTACTTTTTGTTGAAAATATTTTTTTTAAAACAAGCAGCAACTGTGAATTGTGTTGTAGATACTTTTGAAAATAAGTTTGGAATTCGCGATTAACAGATAAAGGTGAGGAAGATAACAAGCAATGATCATTTTTCAAAATGTCAACTACAACACAATACAAATTACTGACCATCGAAAGTTTCAGAGGAAGAATGGGTTGCATAGAAGGATTAAACTTCCTCTGTCGATCGTTCACGGCCTTCAGTGAGTCCTATGTATTGTAGTCTGGCCCCCTTCCCACAATTCCGTTCGCGCACTCTCTACATTGAGAGAGTGCGAACGGAATTGTGGGAAGGGGACCAGACTATATGTATTGAACATCTATACGAAATATTCTGCAACCAAGTTAAAAAGCTCACAATTGTCATGGACAAGTTACTGTGAGAATTTATATTTGCTAACAAATGAAATATTAGCAATATTAATTACTAACAATAGAGATGAAATGTAGACTCTGAACAAACTTGTTGATATCCCCGTAAAATCAACTTGTCTGTCAATTATCTTCCTCGGTTTAAAAATTGGATGAATATGGAGATAATGAACAGTAATCAAACTCAGAAGTACATTCAAACAATATGAATAAGGAGAAGAGCAAGGACCTCGTAAAGTAGGAGGGATGAGATCAGGTGTCATGGAGTAGAAAGAACCCCCTGTCGACTTCTAACATCGGCTGTGTGCTCCTTGTCATGATCGGACAAATGGAAGAGTAGACAGTTAGGTGTGTATACAATGGTTTAACAAGTAGTATGAAAAACACCAGTCAACATTCTATTTAATAATAGATTCTATTTGCTCACAAATTCATTGTTTCAATCAAAGAACTTGCAAAAGACTTTAAACGATCATCGAGACTGTTGATATTGTATCATAAAATTATTTGCTAAAAGGCTTTTATGAATTGTCCGGAGGTAAAGCATAATCTTGTGTATCAAATGCATTTCGATTGGACCCTTTTTTGTGACATTCTGCATTATTGAAAAGTTAAAAGACAAATTTGTAGGTGATGACAAATATCACTAGATAAAAAAGCTTTTAGAAAGTTGGTGATTAATTTAATTTACACAATATTTTATTATGTATAAACATAACAGTACTGGACAGCAGGCATAGCCTATATATATACATGTATATACATGTAAGTCCTCTCCATAAGTTGGCTGATTAAATTGAATACCTGTGATCATCTCGTTTGTCATATACTTTAACTGTTAAGTGTTAGCTGGACGTGTTTACAGTCAGTAAAAACCACCAAATAAGCACACCATGCAGCCGACCCTGTGGTATCTGTTATTTCGAGTTCGCGAATTGTGATATATCGAATCGAGATCGGAAGATGAGTCGAGATATGAATGGAGGTAACTATTGTTGACTGAAAAAAAAACAAAACAACATCGTCAATAATCTGAAAATGAGGTGGAAGGCCTCAACAAGTATTCTTATGAGAATTCTTGTCATTCAGAAGTCCTTGAATTGAGTTTTTAGATAAAATAAGAATATCAGCAGTCTCGTTTAAATCATCAGTTCTATGGTAGATAAAATGACCTTATCAGCAAATACAATTTTTCAAAATACAAGTCATATACTGACTGACGTTTTTCATACTACATGTAATTGTTAGGCCATTATATAGACGCTGAAATGTCGACGGATTTTCCCGTTATTTCCCGATCATGAGAAGGAGCACAAGGCGGGTGTGACCGTTGGGCAGGGGATGCTCACTCCTCCATGGCACCTGATCCTACCTCTGATGTTTTGGAGATCCGTGTTTGCTCTGCTCCAAATTTGTATTATAATAGTTTAATGATTTTTTGAGCTTGAATACTGTTTGCAACGTTGCTTATGATAACGTTGCATTTAGTTACAGCTGTATTTATGATACGCAGGAGCAGAGAAGATTTTCAAAGAATGATATTTTCACTATATATTAAATACAGCCCCTCCATAACACCAGAACCACGAACCTAAAGGCCATGAAATTCGCCACTTTGGAAGAGGCATCCTTGCTTTTCATAACTATGTTCGAATGAGAAGTAAAACAACATACAACCAATCAATCAATCAATCAATCAATCATAACTACTTTGATGTACCGAGTTTGTTTGTTTAGGAGCAAAGTGAGAGAAGAAAATTTTTCAAAGAATTAATGCATTTACACTGATTGATCCATATAGCCACCTTAGCACCAGATCCCTGGGCCATGAATTTCACAATTTTGGAAGAGGGCTCAGTGCATTTTACAATCATGCCATCAGTTTGACTGCTTGATGTCCATGGGTAAAGAAGAAGATTTTTAAAGATACCACAAAATTTTAAGAGTTTAGGCCCACCCTCGCAGGCCTCGAGAGGAGGGGGGCATGAAATTCAAAATTTTTGTACCCCATCACCAGTTCATGCTTCATGCCAAAAGTGGTTGAAATTGGCTTAGTGGTTTAAGAGAAGAAGCTGAAAATGTTCCATAGTTTACGAAAGACGGAAGACGTCGGACAAAAAAGGGTAGCAATAGGTCACCTTTGTGACGTTTACGTTAGTTAGAATAATCTAACTGTTTCTCGGTACAAGCCCTCACCACAGTTAGAATACGTCCCATATACTTGCAATGTAGCAAATGAGTGAAGAAGATTTTCAAAGAATATAAAATGATTTGCACTGGGAATAACTATCAAAATAATCAAAACAAACATTTTTGAGATTGTATATGCCTTTTATCCCAAAAAATAATCCATATAAATACGAAAATCCAATTAAGAACGTTTTTCTCGATTCAAATTACCTGCCATGTTTAAATTTTCGGAACTCTCTAAATTTTTCCTAGTAAATGCACTATGCGAAAATGTTATCGCCCGTGTTTTGCTACATTACGAATACACGGACATCGTTAAAGGGTAGCAATCATTTTAACACCTTTATGACGTTTACGTATATGCGTACCGTTATTTAACGACTGAACTTTTACACAGAAAGGTTACAACAAATGTAACATTGACCAGCGCTACAAAAATAAGTGAACAAGACTGAAGATAATATCCAACAACAACAACCAACAACAATAGTGTCTGGGCTACACACCATGCTGACTGGCAGGGTCAACGAGTCTGTATCAATCCTAGTATTCACCTAGTGTCAGTCAGTCGGTTAAACATCAAAGATGGTGGTAAAAAAATTATTTATATTACAAATCAGTTAATTAAAAATACACTGTATTGCTTAATTAAGCCATGAAATCTTGGACAGAATAAGATTATACTCAATTATATGCATATCTTCTTGTAAAATGTAAATGGGTGCTCGGGTTATCGATTCTAGGAAATTAACTAATTGCTTTTGATATTCATTCTATTGTCTGTCTGTCTGATTGAATTAGCAATATGCACCTGGGAGAAAAGTCATTCGAACATTCTCATGTAAATACAAGCAGGAATATGTAGCTTGGTATAGTATTCATTTGGAACGTGGTAATGTTTGCATGAAGATTTTTTTATTAGAATTATGCGATGTTTCGCAATATTACCATCTCGCAAACAGTTTCTTTAGGGTATATACTAAACAACAAACCAATGTATTTTGAGAGAAAAAAAAACACTTTCTTTGATGAAACATCGCAGAATTTGACATGTTTTTCTGATGAAGACAGAATCAAAGTCATTTAGGATTACTGAAATATATCCCTTTTTTCACCAAATAACATGCATGCTTAAATTGCTTGTACTTTGAATTATACACCTACTCGAAAAATTAAGTGTATATTGACTTCCATGTAATTTTTCCTTGATTTAGAATTTAAAAAATCTAATATTAAAGTGTTCTTAATTCTGATTGGACAAGCCTTCCCAAGTTTTATCAATGCTGGTGTGAAACTGTCACAAATTTTATACCAATATCTGCGATGCTCTCGCTTTTCCTTGGCAAAAAATAACCTTCGCATAATGCGATTCGTCAAAAGTTTCACCATCAGAAATATGTTTTTCCTCACGAATGTTATCAGCATTATTCAGGGTGTGCAGAAACGATGCAAGAATGATGAAAATTCGATTAGTGTATGCTTAGGCTTGGGAAGAGGCGATGATACCCAAAATATTATTTCTGACTACCACCATCACGAACCGTTGCGTAAAGAGTCACCGACAAGACCTGTTGCATAAAATAGATACACAAGTTCAAGCGAATAAAAGCACTGCTACTCTCGATGATGTTTTCAACCTACTTTCTAGATAATATCAATGTATTGCCAGTTACTCATTACGCAAACTGTAATTTTGTCTAGACCCAACCCCTCACGCGTGCCGTGATTAGAAGTGACACCCCCTCTGATTGGCTGATACAAATATGGGAACCGTTGCTGGTGATATTAGATTTCTTCGAGAAAAAATGGGATTTTTTGCATACTTGTAATATCTACTTCCACTCTGAAAGCCTCATGGCTGCCGTCTGAGAATACGACTATCGCCTGTTCTTTAGTTCTCTCTTTTTATGCAGGTTTCTCTTTCAGTCTATGGAATAATTTTACTTGTTGGATATTGGTAAGTTCTAGAAGAACTTTTCTCTTATGATTGTGTAATGTCACTAATTTTTGCTTATTAATCAGTGAATGCAGTGCTATCCAATCACTTGTGTCCAAGATCCTTATACGTTAAATCAGAAAACAGTGGTATCGTCTGCTACTTGAGTTCATTTTCAGAGCGGAAGCTTTAGATAAACACAACAATCAGGTAAACCTCGCAGTTTCTTCAACGAAAATGCTTTTACTCATTATGCATGTGTTCTTGATAACAAAGTAAAACAAATAAAACTGTTCTTTTGCTTCCAGAGGCGGAATTTAATGGGTTGTCATGGAAATAAATCAAACTTATTAAATGTTAAGGAAAATTTAATAATTATAACAAATATTTTTTTCATGTAAATATTTTTCTTCTTTATAGATTATTTAAAATTTATCACTCTGCAGCTGTTATAAAGTACTGCACCCTGTCGAAAAAATTCAAAATAGCTTTTCTCCTGCAGGGAAGCGTAACAAACTTGGCGTTTGGTTTTATGTTAGACATCGATATGGAATGCACAAAAACAATCATGTTTATCTTTATTTGTAATATTTCTCTGTCTGACTCTAGGAGCGCACCAGAATTTCCTCTGTTGAATTTAACGTGAAATTGAGCTGAACTTAAGTGCTTGTACATATAATGCCTTTACGTAAGCATATTATGCAATGGCTTTGAAGTTGTTTTGTAAGTGTTGTATCCTACTACAAATATCATTATACTGAAATAGAATACGTTTAAATTTTCACGGTAGATTTGTGATAAAAGCATTTTGCAGTAATTGCTTGCTTTGCATAACCTCTATTACAACAAAGATATTGCTATCACTGTATATTAATACAAATGCATCATATTTTTGACACCTATGAGAAAATTTTAAAGAACTAAAAGTATATTAACATTTATTTGTTCTTTGTGGGCAACCTAAAATATCCAAAGTTTTCGAGATTAACCAATGCCATTTTTGTACATTAATAGGACTGTTCTCTAATTCGAACCACAAAGTTGATCCACCTGAACCACTGAGCCAATGGCTACGTCATCTCTTCCTCAAAAATAACAAGAAATGATAGTTTTGTGAGATCAGTGTCTCTAATTTGTCATTTTGTGTGATGCATACAGATATTCTGTATAGTTGCCAAAGTGGAAGTAATTAGAGTTAGGTGATTGACCCATCACTAATGAAATACAAGTTACCAGATCAAATCAAAAATAGCTGTTATCACCCCGGTGTACTGTGCTTTATGCGTGGTATTCCTAACTTTTATATAATTACATATTATGAAGATTACATACACCTGAAATATCATGAGGTCTTGGCAAGTATTGGAAAAGTTTGAAACAGTTAGGAAAGGGTTATACCAGAGTTATAATATGTAACTTCTAGCGTCCAGCGTTCCTTCTAGGAAACTGTAAGGATATACCATATTATGGTATAAAGAAGACAATCTGTGACCTCTCTCACCCCCTTTCTATCCCTCTCGGCTGTATGTGCAATGAATTTCTTTTTAGGACTAACTAAGGTAGATGTATCAACATTTAATTCTAATACTGTCTTCATTTTATCACTGCATTTCCATCGAAAGTCTAGCTTGACTGCAGGCCAACACTAACAAAACAGACCCTGCCCACAAGAAACCTGAATGTATCAAGGCGGGGGTTGGTTTTTTTCGCTCCGTTTTATTTATTTTTCTTGTCTGGTACAGTTATCCTTAAGTTCACAAGTAATGTTTAACTTGAGTGCAGATCTTCACAGATACCAATCAATTTGACAGAACATGGGAAACCGTTGTATTTCTTTTGTCAAAATCTGTTTGTTATTGGAATCATGCATTCTTTGATAAAACAGAAATTTCTCGGAAGATTTAGACGTCGGAAAAAAATGTTGCTCCCGAAAGTAATATTGCCTCGAAAGTGAAAAGCTCTCTCTCTCTCTCTCCTCTCTCTCTTTCGTGATTTCGCAGAAAGACAAGAGCAGCAATTTTCTTGGCCAATCTCTGTTGTTAATTAAACCTGACAATGAATGATGTCTCTACAGGGTACCTTTGAGCTCTGCTTTCGACCTGTTTCCTGGCAGGTAAATGAAATTACAGTGCGTGCTCGGGGGAACCAAAAAAATTATAATATTCTTTCGGACCCTAGATCTAAGTAATTTACATGGGATAATTTCTTAATAATACCGTTTGGACATGTTGCCAGATAGTTGTTATACTTCAATTAGTATGCTCTTTGATCTCAAAGCTGATGTGAAGGAATTTGTATATTTCCTATGGTACTATGCATTATTGAAGGAAATGTAGATAATCGCTGGTAGTGGATTTTTGTTCTAATAAACGAAAAAATTATACTCGAAATTTTGTTGAGATAAAATATGCACACTGAGGGCAACAGGAGTGCATTTCTCTGTACATAATGCGCTCATAGCAGGGGTTTTCTGTAAAATGTATTGGATCTTTGAGTTTGGATCAGAATTTGGCAATTACATTTTTTCCCTTCAGAATTAGATTCTTGTGTACTTGCAAACAGGAAAATTTTAATTTACCAAATGTTTTGTTTTTGTCCATATTTCTTTTCACAAGGGAAGGGAAACAATGACAGATTTCTGCATATGCTTGGCAGACGACCAGCGCGTGCGCCATCAATCTCATGTTCGGTTTTTTTTTTTCTTTTGCTTTCTGGAAAGTTTGGCTGCTATCTATGGGAGCCAAGAAAAGATCTCACAACGAAATATTATAGCACAATTGCAAAGTATATATATGAGGCAATATGCATTCGTGCAGACGATGAGGCGCAAATTAAACAATTTGCCAAGCAAGCACTTTTCACGATTTTTTTAAACTGATACACTCGTAAATGATGTAACAATCATATTTTATTTAGATTGTCATGACTGTTAAAAAACAAAGTTTTTTATAGCACTAATTCATTGAGTCTATGAGTCTTTTTTTTTTTAAAAATATACCACCCACCCCGCCCCGGTTTTTTGATATTAGAGGGTATGAGAACTTTTTATTATAATTTTTATATTGATTCTTGCTTCTTGATTTCATGTTTTTTTAAAATTAAGTTATAAATTAAGTTATAAAGAATACAAGACCATGATGAAAACCTCCAAAAATATGCCATTGGTACCGTCTCAAATCACTAACCTTCAAAATAATCTTCGAACCCTGTTAGCACGACACGAATGTATTTAGACCACTGCATGATGGCAATTTTGCTTGTTTACAAATTAAAAGAATTAGTTGAAAAATAAACATTATTGGGCAGGCGGTATCTCATTTGCAGCGAGAGATCAAATTATTTATCAGATAGTGGCTGGAAACTGGAAAACAAGCACCCCGTGGATACAACAACACTAATTTACATTTTTAGCAATTTAATATTCTAGATGTTTATGCTTGTGCTGATTGCTACCGAGTGCATGTTAGACGCGGATCGTTCGTTTATGTTCTCGGGGTCTTCCCTCTAACATCTGTATGATTGAGAAAATTACATACTGGCGGAATCGAGCCATTTAGATCGTTTAATTGCATATCTTCTCTTAGATTTGGAAAACGCGATTTTAAACGGTTAGGTGAGTTGCATGATACAGATCTATATAATTATTTGATATTAAATGAATGGCATTTTAATTTCTTTATAAGATTTTGTTCTTCTTAACCCTGCCATTAATGTTACGTGATGGATTGATCAGAAGCAGTTGGAACATTTTCTTGGATGCAAGCTTTGTTTCATTAAATACATGTAAATATTTTTTTGCAATGATGTTTTCATCTCTGTTAATTAAATCATTTGTATTAAAATCAATGTAATAGTTCTGAATGCTGGTGTACTTTTGATATGTTGTTTGGTATAGTTGTAAACTTTGATTTATTGTATAATTTTGAAGTTGATTGGATTCTTTTCTTGGCGGTGGGAATCTTTACATTTTTCTTCATTTTGAAATTTTTGCACAGTGAACCTACAGGCAAAATCGTCATAAACGTCAGATTCTACAGAATTAATGGCACCCTAAATTACAGAAAGGTGTTAAATCGGCTATCTGTTTTTAAATAAATTTGGTAATCCACTGGCATGTTACAGAAAACATAGAAGCAAATCAGGTTAATGGCAAGAATCTGAAATGGTTCTCTCTGTTTTGAATTTTTTTTTTCATAAAACGCGCCTTGGGTGTAGGGACGTCGGGGTGGAGGGGGAGGGGGGATTGGGTCATATCTTAACAGGGTGATATAACCAGTTCAGTAGATTTTTTCTGATGTCCACTGCATGCACAGTTAATTAGCATCCTTAATGAACACGTGTAGCTGATTATGCTATACACATGTGACTTACTGATATTTGGTTTAACCCCAGGGGGTATCGCTGTCCCTGTAGTAATGCATTTATTCTGATAGTTGTTCTTTGCAAGCCGTCTCAAAGTCTTCGGAGGAAGCAGATGTACGTACTTATTATCTATAGGCAATATCTCGGGAGGTCGTTGCCGAGCTAAATGTTCAATGAGTGTTTTTACCTAAATGTAATATAAGAAATTTTGTTTCTTTTAGTTAAAAGTGGGCAACAATGGGGGTTGGTGACGACATCGCACCACGTTTCACCCAGAAACCAGTTCTAAAACAGGAGGATAATGGCGCAAAGCTGGTCTTTCAGTGTACATTGGAGGCATCCCCTAAACCGGACATACAGTGGTTCCAAGGGACGACACCTATCTCGCAGTCCAACCGGATCAAAATGCGCGTGGAACCCGCCGGGGGCAACAAATACAATGTAATGATGGATATATTAGGGGTCACTGCTGCAGACGCTGGGACGTATAAAGTAGTGGCCAAAAATAAACTTGGGGAAGTCTCGGCCTCTATCAACCTTAACTTTAGTGGTAAGACCAAAGGTTTTTTTTTTCACTTTATGTAGAAGGTTCTTATGGGTTTGTCCTGAAGATGACAGGATTAGGTATACTTTTTGCAGCAAATAGTAGATCAAATTAATGGTTTGGTCCATAATTGAGGAACCAATAACTATTTATGAATATGTATCTTATACATGTAACGGTATATATTTACCAACTGCCATGCAATACAAACGATGCAGTATGTTCTTTAACACAGTTTAATTTAACACACCCTATCACAGTTCCTTCCAAATCCGTATTGTCCCAGACTCCAAAAAAGTGATAAAAGCGTTGATATACGTAAAAAGTTAACTTCTTATCTGTTACATATTTCAAATTCTGTACCGATCGGTGCTTACTAGGTTCGTAAATTCTATGCGTAAAAACTAAAAGTCTGTTTCCATATGCCTCAAAATGTTGCGATGTACGAGTATATAATGATAATCGTTGATTTTGCGAATGTTGGAACTTTCAGGAAAAATTATCCCTTGAATATAATTTCCATGCTCATTTGCTTAAATAATTTTGGAATCAATTAGATAATAAGCTACCTTTGTGGAATATCTTTCCTTACCCTATTGAAAAGGAAGTCTCAACTCAAATGCGGATAAAATCGTATTGACGTCAAAGTACCCATTTGCCTAGGGCAAATTTGCCGCATTCCTCTTTTTGATTAGACAGATAATTCAATGTGGAAAAAAATCTGGATACGTCTTATACATGAGAAATAGATCTTTAATTTCAACTAGAGGTCACATTAATTTTCCACCTCTAATTTACCATTCTGTTTAACAAAAGTAGCGGATTGTTGTTGTTTTTTTGTTGACATTCTTGTACTCTTGTTATTCTCAAACATAATTAAACAAATCAAAGTGTTAGAAATAGAAATGTTGATACTCATAATGATACAGAAAATCCTATTTGCTATAGCTAATTTTTCAGACAATTAATTTGAGTTCAAGCACATTCGTGCTTACCGGGATTTTCGAAGTTGCCCGGGAATTGTTTGCAAATTATTACTCGAGCTCTACTTCCTGCTGAAGCGGGAACTTTGATTTTATCAATTTATGCAGCAGCAGACATTAATCATATTTATATACTTCTAAAAAGTCGATATTAGAATTCAAAATTCAATGAAATTAATGCAGGTAAATGATGCTAATTTAGAACTAGAGAAGATAGCTGCACATTTATAGCTGATGGACGACCAGAGACTGCGAGAGTTACAGTCGCTGTGCTTAATTTTGTGCAGAAACATTGCTCTTTTTAGCGATTGATTTCTCTGAATCAGAGACATATAAAAACCATTTATGTCTCTATCTGAATATTTAAGCTGCCTTCTCAAAATATTTCAAACCGTACATTCCTAAATAGTCCTTCTGGGACTAAAATTGAGACCATCGGAAATTTTGACTTTGTAGTTTATATACTGCCATTTTAGTTGCAAGGCAATTCGTTCCAATGTACTTTGTACATGTACTTGTAAATACAGTTTTATTGTACTATGTAGGAGTTAGTAGTAATACACTGTTAAATATTTTGATACAGAAATAAATGGAGAAAAGGGTGCAGCTTTGTGCCTAATATAAATAGTTACAAATTTTTCAACATTTGAGTGGCACTGCGACTCTCTGGTCATATTTTTTTTTTAGACCAGCAAGCTTAAGATCTATCGTTTAGAGATATTGATTATCAAATCAATGACTATATAACTTAATTTCTGTTCTCAGTCTTATAATAAATTCAGCATAGCGATAAACTATAAGTAGTCTAAAATTATTAACACAAAGTAAAGAGTTCTGAGAGAGAAAAAATATACATGTACAAGTGAAAATGTTTCTGTAGGGAAAATGGTAAAAGTGATAAGTATTAGGCTGTAATTGGGTGACAAAAAAAAATAATTTTAAGTAACTGATCAATGATTAATATTGCACAGCACTACAAATTTTTCAACATTTGGGTGGCACTGCACCTCTCTGGTCATAATTTCTTTTTTTAGACCAGCAAGCTAAAGATCTATTGCTTAAAGATATTGATCATCAAATCAATGACACTGACAGCCACACCAAAAAAACATTGATGCATCAAATATTGTGTATTTTTTGGACTCAAAAGGGGCCTCCTTCTAAATCTGCCAGTGGATTATATAGATTTCTTGCCATAAATAAATTGATGGCATGGATTTGTTTGCTGGTTAATTTTGTTGCAAAGATAAGCAAGTTGAGTACAAGTGTTGAGTTCAAAGGGCTTAGATTTAATTCAACATAGTTTTTGTACTTTAAATGCTTCTTATATTTGATCATGATATTACCAGTAAATTTATTTTTAGGTACCTACCAGTATATAATGACCATACTTTCTAACAAAATTAGTTCTCAAGTTGTGAAGAATATATGTTTAGTCTATCTTTTTACCAAAAAGTTTATTAGATTTATAACACTTCACAGCAATGAACTTTTCAGTTCATCTGCAACCAATCCAACCATTCAATATGAAGTACTTATGAGTATGAACATGCTGTGTTAAAATTGTAAATCATGTTGATTTTTTACTGAAAAGATAATTAATAATTTAAAGTGCAATGACTGCTACAATTCATTTCTGGTAATGAACAAGAATTGCAAATAGTAGTATTTTAGCATTTTAGAGTAAAAGTCCTTTAAGATCACCATTATACAAAATGTAGAATTTTTATAAGTGTTGATGTAAGTGTTTATCCATTATGTTTATGATATTTGTTCCTTATTTTTCTCTTTGTACTTTTACAGGTAGTCAAAAGCAGTGAGTATTATTTCAAACATTAACTGTGTTAGTCTGCATGTGCTGCATTTTCTTCAATTCATTTATCATGATCAATGCCATTTACATGTATTCAACATGTTCAATATGCCATAAATTCACCCCGTTGATACACCAAAAGCTTTTTAGTTATACATATGTTTTCTTGATTTGATTGATAGCATGTACAAATTGTCCATAACTATTTTGCTCCATCATTCTTGTTTTCATGTAATTTCATTCATCTATATTCTATTCTGAAAACCAGCTTGCTGTTAATTCCAGAACCTTTGATCTGTAAAGATAACTGTTTCTATACCTAACATTCACCAGTGGGTCAGATATTGATCATTTAGAACGCATAGCAATCAGACTTAATTATAGGAAAAATTTTCCAGATATGAAGGGATTTGCATTCTTCATCAAAACGATATGTACACATTGTATGTATTAGTACTGAGTACATCACTACATGTTTGTATACAAATTATATTTGTTTGTTTTTTGTTGAAAATTATTCTATGCAATGCATTTCTGTTACATTTTTTTGACATTGCAATTTACATAAATTAAAATACCTTTTTAATTGTCTTTAAGCATTTACAGCACTTACAGCATTATGTTTCACAACACATCTTTTAATCAGAAAATGTAGCCTATATATTTAATTGTTTTTGAGTGTGTAAAAACATGAAATTTTAGTATTATTTAGTACATATTTTAGCAATATACACAGCAAATTTTAGATAAATATATGCATAAATAAACAAATTATGAGATTTTATGCCATGTATTGTATCACCTTACGGCACATGGATTATAACGCCAAAGTGTCTAAAATAGCGTCACATTTTATCTTTGCTGAAAATGAAGTTGGATGAGTCCGACTTAAATCTAGGAATTTCATTGATACACATTCTTTAGTCTCCATAAACAGTCGAAGAACCATTTGGCACCCTCATGCCATCTTCTGAAGAGAAATATATTCTCACCATCATTCAACTAATAGAAAATCTCATATCGGTGTTCTACTGTGGTCTTTTTCTATAACATTATGTTACACAAAAAAAACACATTTCATTTGTATTTAAAATATTTTTATAATCTTTTTTCTTCTATAGTCAATTCAAGTTTAAAGGTGTCATTACATCATCGAAATAAAATTTAACATATAAGGGATTTTTCGTGTGTTGTGTCAACCTAAGCAAATGCCTTAAAATTTTTACAAAAACTACAAGAGAGAGAAAATGATAATTTTAATCCAAATTGGAACCAACACAATACTAGGTTACAAAATAACAGTAGCAAAAATTGCCACATATTAATTAAAACAATGAGAAATGGTATTATCTAATTTCTCTCTAAAGTGCAAGCACTTTTATATATACAGTGTCTAAGATTTACATCATCAGCTGATAATCTGAGCATCAAGAGTATATTGTTTTGGAACAGGGAGTTGACATGCAAGTTCCATCATTCTTGAGTAAATTTGGATGCTAGATAAAAATATCCTGTATCGTCAATGCTTTGTATAAATTAGGAGACAAGAAGCACCACGTTACAAAGTGTCTGTTTTGATAATTTTTCTCCATATCAGAACCTCCCACAGTGGCAGTGAGAGCTTCATGGTAAGGCTACCTCACATATTGTTTATAGTTTAAATCGTGATCCCCTGAAATCAACACCTGCTAAAGTTTGTTCTTGCAATAGTTTCCATATCACAACAGCTGTGAATTACCATCATGAAGATTCCATTCATTTTGCCAACAGCAGCTTCGGTCCCAATGTTACATTGTGATGGGTGGAAATATTTAATCTTTTCTCATCCACCTGCATTTTTCTGCCACTTCCAATTTATTTTCAATTCCCAGAGTGATAGAAATACACTGTTACAATCATTTCTGAAGTGCATCATTTAATTTGTTAGCTTTCAGAGTGGAAAATTTACTAGATTTTTTAGACACAAGTAGCAAAGAAAGCAAAAGATAAATGACACATGAATCTAAAAGAAATAACAGACATTATTGCTTTTCTTAAACTGACTGTAAACTTATGTAAACATGGTAAGAAACCAATATTCCAGTAGATAGAATCTTATCCTGAGTTTAATGCTTAGTTGAAGTCTGCTTTGTGTTCTTTCTCTAGACAAGATGGAATTGCTCCAAACTTTATACAGAAACCTGTCACCAAACAAGCAGATAATGGTAAAAAGCTGTTGTTTGAAGGTCAACTCACGGCAGACCCTGCCCCACAGATTACATGGTTCAAGGATGAACAGCAAATTACACCTGGAGGTTTGTTTTTATTAATAATTTGTTACCGGATATTAACCGGTTTATTTATTTTATGGATTATGATAAAATAAGGAACAATATCAAGAGATTCTTTTGTATAACAGATATTTTGCTGAGTGTAAAATTGATGTACCTGTTCATTTATGAGCTGAAACATTTGTTAACTTTCTCTTTAAACACAAACATATTTGTTTGTAAAAATGAACATCAGTTATTTCATGTAATGAAATTAAGTCATCATCAGATTAACTAGTTTGACAGTTTGAAATTTTATTTAAAAAAAAAAAAGATTTTCTTTTTTTTTGAACCTAATTAATATTCTATTTTGCAGGTCGCATTAAGATTCGAACAGATCCACAACCTAATAAGAAGTACCTCTTGGTACTAGAAATCAATGATGTCAACGTAAAAGATGCTGGAAACTACAAAGTCACAGCCAAGAATGCTTTAGGAGAAAGCAATGCTACTATCAGACTCAATTTTGATAGTTAGTATAATGATTTTCAAAATTTAGATATATGTAACGTACCCCAATTCATAAACTACATTGACCAGTGGACGGCAATATAAAGTTATCAACTGTTTAGAGAATGAAGAAAAGTAATGATTTATGACCGCAGTATTTATTTTAAATTTATATTATTTCAATTGCCTAATTTTTTTTCTCAAGAAAAGCATGTACCAATTATTTTCTCTTTCGAAACACCTGATAAAAGTTGTGGATCATTTCACTATGTTTTGTTACAAGTGACAGAACTTGGGATTGTCATAGCACCTTAACTTATTAAAGAGTTTATCTCTTTGAAATTCAGCTGATGAATCAAAAAAACCACAAGGACAGCCACCTAAATTCACCACCAAGCCGACGATTCGACAGGAGGGGGGAAAGATCATTTTTGACTGCAAACTGACAGCAGACCCCAAACCCACCATCACTTGGTACAAGGGAACCGAAGTTTTAAAGGAAGGTGGCCGATACAACATGAAAATGACCACAGATAAAAACACCCACAATGCTTCCATGGAGATATCTGGTGGGGGGATGCAAGATGGAGGGGAGTACAAAGCAGTGGCCAAAAATAGCCTTGGAGAATCCACAGCAACCATCACACTGAACTTTGAAGGTATATTATTCATTGTCCAGCTGTTTGTGTGGCATGCTCTAAATTTTTTTGTCATGAAGACACGGTACTTTAGGGAATAAGAAAAGTTAAGTAAACATGACTTCCTGCTGGTAAGGAATGTCTGTCAAGGATACTTGAGATGATTTTGAAAAAGTTTTAAAAGCTTAAGACTTAATTAGAAAAGTATATAAAAAAAACTACAATAGAAAATTATTTCATGTTTTTGTCAGGGTTACTGCCATATACATAAGGTTTGAATCAGAAAAGGATTTGAAATTTTAAGATTTAATTTCATATTTTTCTTTTTCAGGGAAAAAGCCTCCGTGAGTATTTTTGTGGGAATCTTGAATGGCAACACCTGCACACTATGGGGATAATATAGTTGCATAAGTTTACATGCTCATCATGTAACTATGGAAACTATAGAGTTTACAAGAAGCTCTTCAGTGAACAAGGAGAAACATTACATTAATCATGTCTGAAAGGTTTAAAAGCATAGGGGAAAACACGTAAATGATTCCTGGATAGCTTTGGCAGCTTTACAATGTAGAAAAACTGAGTCCATATTGTTAGTCGACAAAAATCATCAGATAACAGATGAGATATTATATACACTGTATCTACTTAGTGGCTAGATGCACAGTTGTTATAAATTTGTTTGATAGACACTTTTTATTCTTAACATGTAAACATGTATACAGAATCATTTTATTTTACGCAACTGACTTTAAGAAGAAATCCTTTACAAAATAAAAGCAGTGATCAAGATTTACACTAGAATTGTGTTTATATAAAATCAACAGAATTAATTTTTTGAAAAAAAAATGCTAAGAAGATGGTTAAATGAAGGAAATGTGCAATTTGAAAATCATTATTGTAGACAAGGCAAAGCACCTCATTTCCTGACAAAACCAACCATCAAACAAGAGAGAATGCAGCTCTTAATGACCTGTAACGTGGAGGCCAAACCAGAGCCTAAGCTGTCGTGGTTCAGGGACAATACAGAGATTACCCCAGGGGGACGTTACATCATCGCCCTCAAAAAGGACGCCTCGGGACCAGACAGATATGTCGCCACTCTTACCATCAAGGTAACGTTTTGAGTTTGAAGACTTGAGAATTGCAAGTGGAAAGATTGAAACTTGGTTTTGGGGTAGAATTAGATATGATGTAAATACAGTCAAACTTTGTTATCCTTGACTTAATGGGTCTAGAAAAAAAAATTCAAAATTTTTGAGGATTTGAGATATAGTGGTAAAAAAAATTCAGGAAAAGGTGATTGGTACTTTAAAATTACTTCAAAATATCTATGGTATTTGAGATAGTGTTCAAAACACTAAAGTTCACTATATGTGTGTTCCTGATTGCTCGTTTTAATTTTAACAATTTGTTCAGTTCTTAGGATCAAAGAAAGTCAAAAGTACAGAAATGGTATTCTGACAATTCTTGATAAGCATAACATAGCTGTTCTTTTCTCTGAAAATTAGATTCTTCACATATTTCACATGCTTACAGTTCATTGGGAACTTTTAAGTGACCAGTTACCTGGGGGCAGTATCTTCTCATCTCCCCTTGTACAGCTGATAAAGTCATAACTATTTCAGCACGTTTCGTATTTACATGGATTTTATAGTCACTGCCATTTTGGCATGAAGGGTCTCTGCTGGTTTTTGTGTTTTAACAAGTGATAAATGCATGTTTATCAGTGCAGATAGGTGTGGAATGAACACAAGATATATCTTGTTATAGGATATTCAGTGCCATTTTATTAGATTTTAGAATGATATAAAAAGCATAAATTTATAAGAATTTCAATGTTTGGTTGTTGGTAAAGTTCATTCTTTCAACATCCTGAAAGAGCATTGGCACAACAGCACTGCAGAAAAAAATCTGTTGAGAAAACCAATTCATTTATAATGGAAAACACATAATTTTTGTCATTTACATTGAATATCTGAATGAATAGGCAATTTACAATTAGTTTTGAGCAGTAATGGAATCTACTGTTCTTTTTAAAATCTCTGCATTGCTGTGGAAACTTAAAAGACCACTCAAAACATTACGATGATGCAATTTCTTGGTTAGCTGGCAGTCATATTCACAAGTAATAATTAGTGTTCTACATAGTGAATTTTCTGAGAGCTTTCTTAGGATTTATAGAAGAGGCTGTTCCTCTCCCCTCAGTGTGTAAGTAATGAAGATTGTCTATCAATGATTTACTGTGTAGGCAACATGGAACAACAGGAAAACTAAGTATTTTTGTGTATTTACTCGTAAAAAAGAAATGGAATTGCACTTTTAATAATTGACTTCATTTTTATATAACAAGTTTGACATGAACAAATTAACATTCAAATAATGCAATTATTAAACTATTTTGGATGGCTATATAGATGTTCTGTTATTAATTAACCTTCATATGGACTTCTGTAGTAAGACTTCATCTGATTATCAATGCCATAACCATTAACGAGTTGCATCAAACACTGCTGGGGTATAGTGTCATATACATAAAAAAATGAACATCCTTACTCCTACGCATTCTATTAGTTTACGTGAGGTAGCACACTTCAAGCATTAGTGTATGTAAACTGATCAGGTAATTAAACAACTGCCAAAATTGATTAGTTCCACTCTGAAAAAAAATGTTCTTATTCAATAAACTTAAAAATTAATGCATCCCCAAGGCAGTAAAATTGGTACTACAGCATTTTTAATGTTTCTTGTTGAAAACATTTTATTAATCTTCTAGAAGGTTAGAGTGCTCCGGGGTTATTTTTTATTTTTGTTTCTTTATGTAAAATGCTCTTAACTAAGTACCTGGAGATTTACGAGATGTTTTGTCTCAAATTGATAAAAATGATCACTTTTTTATTAGGGCTAATCAGAATTTGGATTAAAACAATGATAGGAAGTCAAGTGAGATTTTTGAATTTAATTGGAATTTTATGACGGATTTTGATATTGGCTCTCCTGATTTGGGTGAGTTCCCATGAGGAGGTTATCAAATTCGTGTGAAGTTCAGTCACCTTGTTTTTATCATAGGGCTGATCAAGAACTCCAAGAGGATAGGAAAGAATTCAAAATTTTGTCTTGTGTGTTTTTTTAATGAAGTTTTATTATCTTTTTTTTCATGCTCTACTTCTTAGATGAGACATCTTGGAATCTCAAGATAAAAGAAAAGTACACACATTCTCATTTATATTTAAACGTAAAATGTAATGGTCAAAACACCTGTGGAAGATTTAACAATGAATGATGCATCTTTGAAGCTTCTTTGTTTTGCTCATTTAGTTGCATATTAATTAGTCAGATCAGCATTAATCTGTAGGTATGGGTATAGGTACAGAGCTGTACAGTAGAGGAATGTTTATTGACAGAGGCAGACATCTGTGTACTGAGCATGTAAATCACCGAGGTGGCCAGTACGAAGTCTTTAATCTCCCCCTCTCCTAAGTGATCATTATGTACACATGAATATATTACTTCATTACAGATAAACATTGCCAGGAGTATCATTGCTTTATGTATAACCCAGTCAGACTCTGATTGCCTTCAGGTGCAGAAAAAAATAAACACTGCAAGACTTGATTTTTTCCCCCTATCAAAAAAACACGAAATGATATTTGTCACTTTGATACTTTTCTGTGGCAAGTCTCCATGTTTTGCCCTTCTGGCTGGTTACAAGCAGATTAATTTGTGCTACCTCAGCAGTTTATTAATAACAAAAGCTAGAGCAGTTTTGTGTATATAGGAAAAGTTGTAAAGATGCTTGTCTCTGGTATAGCAGTCAGGAGAGTTTTCCCTGGTATCTAAACATTCACTGGATATCTGGCAGGGCTTGGCAAGAACTTCTACAGAGGCTCTGACCTTGATATATAAATCACTGATGTACATGTAGATATTGTACAGAGTAGTACCAATTTAAGGTGCACTGCATTTTGCCTAGTATAATCAGCAGAAAAAATATGTAAGCCTTGCTCATGATCCGTGTAAGATTTATACCCCATGAAAATCAAATTCTAGTTTTCTGCACTTTTTATTAACTGATATGAATATAGGATTATTCCCTTAGGAATTACATCCATAGGCTTAATTTATCTTAATACTGACTATAAGCAAACTTTTTTCATTCTAGACATGATAATGTTTAATGGCAGCCAAACTGATAAGAATTAATGAGTTGTACAGAGAATTAAGTAATTTTGTACATCTAATGTCTTGGAAAGAATGTGAAAGAGAAACGGTTAGAAAAGAACTAGAAAAACGATTTTAAAAACACAAACATAAAAGTAGCTTTATTTAGGATTGTATAGAGCTTAAAAGTGAAATTTAAAGTGGAAATATGATAAACTTAATTCTAGGTGGACATTTGAATTACTTGCCAATTTGTTTATGTTGATGAGTTCATCACAATTATATAAGTATGGCCTTAACTTTTTTTGATAAATTTGAAATAGGGATTCAAAATAAAGCAATTCAAAAGGAAATAAAGTATAAATACCTGATTTATTTTAAACTAACAGTGATTGTTTTACAGATGAGTTAGCCCTGTATCATTATCTCCCTTTATGTTTTCCCATAATAAACACTTTGTAACTTAATTAGTTTATCAAGATGAAGGGGGAGAATGTGAATTATAGTGGGAGGTGCAGCAGAAAGGATGCAGCATAATTTTTATCAGGATCCACAGAACAAGGAAATAAGGTTATCTCTACACAATCGGGTTTATCAATGAAGACAAGACTAGGTGTTTGCCAAGATAGGGGAATACACAGTCATTTAAGGAAACCTGTTTAGCATAGAGAAAGCATAACATTGTGGTGAGTTTACACTGCAGTGAATGTTTGTACTCAATCCTGATGATAAAGAAAGCTGTTTTTAGGCATGTAGGAAAACTCCTATGTATACTAGGTGCTTTTATTATTAAGATGTTTGAAGGAACCTTTTTGAGCTAAGAATTATTTCTGCAGCATTTGAAAATGATCATTTTAATCATGTATCCCCCCCCCCCCTTCCCTCCCTACACAGTGATAATTATACATGTTACAAGTAACACTGAGGATGGTGTAGAATTTATTGCATAGATTAAAAAATACTAGAAAAACAGAAAAAAAAAATAAAAGTGATTTGTTAAGGATTAAAGCAAAAGAGGCATTGATGTAATGGAAAAGGGGGGGTGGGTTATTTTATGATTATATAATTGACAGAAACAGTAGATAAAAATATTTATTTGATAACAAAATTAACAAGCAACATTAAAGGGACCTTTTGATATAAAAATGCATTAACCTATTGACTAACATATTAAGTTAGATTATAGTCGAAATTTGTGGCTATTAATCTATTTTTATTGCATAATATTTTGAAGTAAGATGCATTCCCAGCAGTTGAAGCTTTAAACTTTATATCACTGATATGAAGTAATTGGGAGGGGGAATTTACGTATATAAACCCATAAAAACCTGTTTATGATATGTCTGGTTTCTATGTTTAGATCTCATTTCAACTTCATGTTTCCATGGTGCAGTAAATTGCAGCAAAATGGATTCTAAAGTTTTACAGACCTAGCTTATGTGAAGCATTCAGGGATGGCGTATAAATAGGAAATCTTTTCTATTCTTGTCAATGGGAAAATTCTTGACTGATGTCCAATTGATATACTCTTGTTTGTTAAAAAATTTGTTTTCGTTGATTTTGTTTATTGAATGTCTCGAAAAAATCTGTAAGTTTAAATCAGCTGGACTGATAATGATGTTAGACAGGGATGGAGAATTGAACACACTTTGCTCTGTTGAACAAGCACATACTTTAAGCTGTCACAATGAGCATGCTCCTGTAATTCGTCTAGAAGTTGATTCCAGGCCCCTGAATGCATTCCACAATTACATCAGTCAACATGCTACACATTTCTGTACTTTTTGTCCAAAGTTGAAACTGCAGTTCCCTATTTTTTTCCCCCCCCCCCCCCCCCCAAAAAAAAAATGCACTACTTGCAGATCTATATAGTAAACAATTTATTGCAAGTCAACATAGTCTGCCAGAATACCTAATACAATTTTTTGGTAATTACATACACATGCATGGAGACATTGGAAAGATAAAGACAGGACAGTGTATCTAAAAATTGATGAATACCAGATAAAAAACTGCAGGTATCCATTGTTTACATATTTAATTATTTTACACTAGAACTGAACCCAGAGAGTTGTGATAAGCTTTCCACAGATAAATTCCTTGTTGAAAGAAACCATCTGACATGCATTTAATTTGTTATAGGCGTCAAGCCTTAAGATATTTTCCTTGTTGAAAACTAACGGAAAGAGGAAGTTCCATTACAATAAAATGCTTTTTCGTCCAAAATAAATTTCACATCTCACTCTGAAACCTGCAGTCAACTCCAATTTATCTCAAATGCCATTCAAAGTGTATTTGTTTACTGCACACAGCCAATTATGAGATTAAAAAATACACAACTTTTTTGTTGCAATAAAACTTCCATGTTATTGAGTTCTTGTGTAAATGACATGGATACACGTATACTTGAATGTACTCTTCATCCTAATTTTTTTTATGGTATCAAGGGTGGTACTTGATTAAAATGAAAAAAAATTTATCTATTGTATCACATGCAGATAAGTAAGATTTTGGTGTTTACTGGATTTTTTTTTCATTTTTGACAACATAATTTGGAAAAAGAGATTTTGTTTCGTTTCAAACTCTGTATAACAAGTGCATTTTGGATTTGAATGAATCCAAGGGCATTTACCAAATTATACATGTATTTACTTAGAAATAGTATAAAGTTTTTGGACAACTTAATCGGAAAGGTATTTTATAAAATCAAATACTGACCACAGAAATCTCCAGCATTTATTATGAGAAATTAAGGGTACTCAGTATTTGATATTTTACTGCAAGTTTGTATTGTTAGGCTCTATTTGGTAATATGGATATGGATAATAAGGTGAAATTTCTTGTTTTCTTTAGGATCCAAAAGCGGATGATGGCGGTCAGTACAAAGCCACAGCTGTCAATGAATTGGGAGAATCCAATGCCACCATCACCCTCAACTTCCAAGGTAAATCTTATGACACAAATGCTAAATTAAATTTAGATAGCAAGCAATATAGTTTGTCCTCTCCATTTAAGGCTGTTCATACATAAACTGAGAACAAAATAAAGTCTACATTCAGAATTAATATTTCTTTATAATAGATAAATTTCCATTGTTATTTAGAATATTTTACAATTTTGCTTTTTCTGTAGGTAGATTTCTAACATAGATTATGTAGGTTTTTTTTATTTACCGGGTAATTATTTTATAAGTTCTAAAGTATCTCCTTTTTTGTAAATTAGATATAAAACATCAATCTAGGTCTTCAGAGTGTAGATTCCTTGCATCTCTCTTTAACTGTGCAGAGATATTAACCTAAATCATTCCCTAATTTATTTTATGATCTAAAAATATTCCAGATTAGATGAAGCATCAAGATGCAGGTTACACCGCCTGATTTGAATTTCTGAGCTTCTTTGCCTCAATTTAGCATAACCAGGTCTTTGAAATCATATTTTATCAAATTATCAAAGCATTCATGAAGCGTAAACTTATAAAGATATGCATTTTCGCACACTTTCTTGGTATGCCTTGTAAATGTAGCTTGTCAAGAAACTGAAGTTTATTGGGACATTTTCTTCAGTGGAAGATTTATGAGGCTACATATACAGGCAGCTGGCAGTAAGATACAGTCAAGTTTTTCATAATATTTTTTCACCGTCTTATCTGGGGATGACAAGAAGAAGCATTTTCCCATAAAGAATTGATACTGTTGTCAAAACCTGGCTGGAAATTCCTGGCTGGGTTTTGTTATGTGCAGGTGTCCTTGGAACTTTGAATGAGCATTTTGTAGGACTATCAAGTAGCCCTCAAAAACAGAACTGTAGCATAATTAGACAAAACAAAACAGTTACAAGCAGCCAAAGACAACAATTAGTAAGAGGGGGAATGCTTGATTTACCATCAAGGTTCAGTGTAATTAAATGTGAACAAGAAATGAAAGAACTGAATGTACTGGTACATGTAGTACCACTTAATAGCAATAACAGTGAAGGGGGATAATGGTTATGCACAAGGATAATTAGTTATTTTAATATTAAGTACTCTGGCTCAAGGATAATTGACCATAAATGCCATAATTTTTGCTAAAAATAGATGCATCTAAGAAACAACTCGTTAAGAAAATATCTTCCATGCTTTACCATGGGATAGGTGATCCTGTTGCTGTAATACATTTTTTATGATGTTGGATATGATTTTCCTTATTTTTACATCACAACTCACTTTCAGTTCGACATGGCCTGGCAGTAGCGATGATTATCGGTGAGAACCACGTAAACCTTGGTGTTGTCACTACACAAGTGTGACCACAAACCCACTGTGTGTCCACACACAAGTCTTACCCATATTCATATGTTACCCAGCTTCATTAACATTCATTTCATAATATCTTCACACCAGTCCAGATGTCATCCTGTTCCATGAATTTAAGCCATCCAAAAACAGTTTTCAGAGTCCATTTCATACCATTCACTTGCATTGTTGTCTACTTTGTACTATTATACAGTAGATAGTTTAGTACATTGATGTCGTACTCATGTTGTAATGATTTATGTATAATTATTGATCCTGTACCATCACCGTCACCATGTTTTTTCCAGTCTTCCTCCAGTTTCCAGTCTCTCACAGAGGATATCTCCAAATGTTTACCACTTCTGAAACCATTCCACTTTATTCCCATCTGTTATACAAAATGATTTTATCAATTTCCACCTTCCTACATCTTGCATTTTTATTTAAATATGGACAAAAGTTAAAAATGTATTATTATTTATAATGTGATTTTCACTTCTAGATTTAGAACATCATTTTCCTACAAATGAAAAAATTTTATGACATCTTCCATAAAAATAAACGATTGTAACCTGCAGGTATGGATAAACCAAAAGGAACACCTCCGACCTTCAAGGAGAAACCCAAGGTCACTCAGCAGGACAAGAACCTGATTGTAGAATGTAACTGTAATGCTAGTCCCAAACCGACCTTGACCTGGTACAAGGAAACACAGGTCCTGAGAGAAGGCCCTCGCTACAAGATGCGCTCCACGGAGAAAGGAAACGATTACACATTTTACCTGGATATCATGGTAAGGACTGAAAATTGGTCGTATGTATAGCAATTTTAATATCGAAATTTTTGAAATGTAGACTTTTTTTTTCAGTTTTCATGACACCTGTATCTATAATTTATTTGCAATAAATCTTACAAAAAGAATACCCGATAACCTTCAGTATTTAAGGAATAAGATTTATTAATAATTTTAAATTCCACAATACTCATGTACATATATTTTATTCAGTCTATAGAGAAAAAAATCCTTTAATTTTTGGCCAATTTTCAGAACTTCTCCGCTGCTGATAGTGGGAACTACAAGGTTATTGCTAAGAATGATGCTGGGGAAGGCACAGCCACCATAAACATCAATCTAGAACCGTAAGTATCTCAAGAAAGCCAGCATATTCTGAACAAAGGGTTTTTGGCCTTTATCATATTTTTCAACCAGTAAATTATCAAGAAAAGTTAGAAAATAATTTAATGCTGTCAAATATCTTTTGGTATTAATATTTTATAAAAAGCTACTATACTGAGCTCATTTCAGATTTCAGACATTGGACACACAAAGAAATGTAAAATTATAGTTATGATTCTTATCATGAATGACAAAATAAATCTAATATTGGCTGGATTTGGGGAAGAATGGAAGAATGATTTTACTTTCTCGCATATCTTCAGTACTTAAATTGGTGTTTAAAAAGATAATTAGAGAGGTTTTTTTAACAAATGATTAGTGATATCAGTTTATTAATGAAATGTTTTGAAGCAAATCCCTGAGAATCCAGGTGGCATTGGAATACTCTTGATTATTAATGATACTTCCCATTTAAGAGCCATTCTCTGTAACGACTTGAAATTTTATATAGGAGCTGTGGCACGCATAGTCTCAGAATTTCTCCAAACTCTCTACGGTAAAAGTCATTGATACCCTAAACTGAAATCAGGCAAAAATTGGTCGCTATGTTTTATAGTTACCATGGCAACATGTTTTAAAGTTCGAAAAATGGCATTTTTTAACATGTTTACAGCCCCATAGTAAACATTTGCGGCAAAGCAAACTTGGCAATGACTGTTTCCAAAAGTTGAAGGTTAGATGTCTGAAATGCATGATAAACATGTTTGGTAAATCAACTATTACATACGTTACTATGGTAACAAAGTATTCAAAAGTAAAAAAAATATTCATTGAATTTTATAAAGTCATACAGGTAAAAATAAAAAGCAATTATGGGATGAAATGTGACCTAATAATAGAAAAAAGTACCTTGAAACATATACCATTAACAAAATATGATATTTCATTTTGGTTGGCAATGGTTGCCAAGGAAAGAGAGCCTTCAAAGTAACAATCTGTATGATTAAATTTGATCCTATCTTTTAAAAAAGCACATTTCCTCATAATTAATGATCAATTTTTAAAGATGTTGGTGTGCTCCTAGTTTTCCAATTTGAAAAAATTCAGATTACATTCTATAAATAAAGCGTTGCTATGGAAATAAGCAGAAAATATATGCTTAAAAACCCGAAAAATATTTTCTTTCCTTGGATACGTACCTTTTAATGTAGATTCCCAAAACTTTTATGATTGATATTTATTAACAGCTAATCTGACTTTTAATTTTGACCATCGTCCAATCTCTAAGTGGATGCAAGAAGTTGGCACACAGGGTTTAATATTGATATAAAGTTCACAAAATCGAACATTTTCCCTTCTTGGTAACCATAGCAACAGTGTTGTTTTCTTCATCTAATTTTATCAATATATGATATTCAACTTCAGTTCTAACAGATAAGTACTATTCAAGCTGAGTCCTTTAATTTGTTTCTTGATTAAATGGCAATTTAATTCTTAATGCAGCGAAAAATAATTCACTTTTAAGCACTGGTACTTTGTTTCCATGGTAACACTGCAATGTAGCAATTATACCCAATTTTTCTTATGGTTTTGGTGTTGCAAGGTCCTAATGATGCATACTTGCCAGTCTTGAATTTTCATGTTTTTCCTCAAGACAGTAGCATTAACCGAATCTTAGTTACAGGTTTTGCATGGTTACACTGTGTTACCATGGCAACCAGAAAAGTTATTTATAGAATAATATTGCTTATACTTATATACTTAAGGTCAAACATTTTCATTGTTTTTAAAAGGTCTTTGTTAATGTAACACCTACCATTAGTAAATACGGAGTGTTTTTCAGCACATTTCAGCATTTTAAATGTATTCCAAATGTAACCTTGGTTACCACTTGCTTAGACATATATTCTAAACAGTTTCTTTACAGTAAAAATGACATCAAGGTATCTTGTTTTTGTGAGAATGGTTTGTTTGCTTTTTCTTGTTTTTATTAAGCCACAGTCAAGATTTAAAGTGGCTGAAAATCTCGATTTTTCAAACTTTTCCGGCTGTTGCCATAGCAACCGAGACACATAGCAACGATATTTTGTTTGACATTTGTTTCTGGTGTCAAGTACTAAGCATGGGTGAAGTTTCATCAAAATCGGTGACCATGCGTGGCAACGAAGTTTAAGTGGTTACAGAGAATGGCTATTAACTATTATAGTTGGCTACCATGGTATAGCAAAGGAAATTAATTTTTATATGTGACCTTGTAATTAGAGTTAAAATTAAAACCCTTTATCGAAATGCTAGAAACTTCTAGTGCCCATCTGATACAGTTTGCTTTCATAACCCAGTTATCTCGACAAGGCAATAAAGATTTTGCTGTCTAACACTTAACAAAGATTAATTGAATTCTTGAGAGAAAAATTAGGTCTTTTTTGTTTGATCTGTTTGATGAAGTTTTCACTGAAGTAATATCAGGATCCACAGGAGGTATTGAAGCTTGATGAATGCAAGAGTGTTGTCTTGCACCCAAATTATAGAGATAAACTCAGATAAAGCAATATAAATTTACCACCTTCAGCTTTGCAAGGTCAAGGTCGTTTAGTTGGCCTATCATCAGAGTTATTTATGTCTATTTAATTGCTACTTTGTTGCAACATGAATGGAAATTCTCTCTTCTTTACAAAGAAACCTGACAGGAACCTATTACAAGATAAGCCAGGTTAAGTACGATTAAATTGTCTTTTCCTTCTGGTCGACTGTTTCTCAAGAAAATCATTCTTTGAAAGAAAAAAAATTCCTATAGGTGCAGAGACCCTTATAGGAAACTTTTGTTTCTATATTACAATTTTAGAACAGTTATTAAATGTAAAAGGTCTTTGTAAAAATAAAAAACATTAAAACGTAGAGGCCAGAGTCAAATGGTTATACAATGTATCCCTGTATACATACTGTATACAGGGAAATTCTTGCCCCCTTTCTCCTTACAGTCGGATGAATTTAAAACGGGACAAATTCAAAGAACATAGTATTAATTTGAAAGGTTAAAAGTTTTTTGTATGTGTGAAAGGGTGAAAAATAACCCTGTATACAGTACTCAATTTTATTTGTATAGTATAGTTCATTCATTGTGCACTTGTAGACCCAAAGAGAGCCCACCCTCCATCAAGGACATGCCAAACGTTCGACTTCTGGACAACGGAAAGAGACTGCTCTGTGACATGAAAATCAACTCCAAGACCAAACCCACAGCCATGTGGTACTTTGGAAATTCCCCTCTCAAGTCTGGTGGTCGCTACAAGCTGGACGTGAAGGAGGAATCCCCCGGGGTTTTCCTCATATTTTTGGAAATTGCCAATGTTAGTTTCAGTCTGTTTATATTTTACATCTGGACAAATATAAGCTTGGCTACATATAATCTACTTTTCGAATAAATTTTTAATGAAATTGATTTTTTTTTAAACTTACTTTAAAAATTATTATCTAAGTATAAATTGATAGATATAGTGTATAATTTTAAATGGGAAGGGGAATTATGATCTTCAGAATAAAATAAAATTCTACCCTGGTTATTAACAAAACAATTTGTTTTTTAGCCAACTGATGCAGACTCCGGTGATTATAAATGTGTTATTAAGAATCCATCAGGAGAAATCACATCTACTGCTAAAATCAACATGAAAGGTAATATATCTTATTTATAGAAAAACAGATTAATAAGAGAGAGTGAAAGAGGCAGAGAGCGAGATAAAAATATAAAGTGAAAAATTATTCTTTATAGCTCTTCAACCACAAATAAAAGGAGAGCCTGCCAATTTCTCCCAAAAGTTGGCCCCTAAATCAGTGACAGAGGGTGAAGCTCTGGATCTGATTGCCAAGGTGACGGGAACAGAACCAATCACAGTCACCTGGACAAAGGATCGTAAGCCAATCAAACCCACCGATGGATACAAGATAACCTATGAAAAGGGCACCTGTCGGCTCTATATAGCTGATGCCAAGCCTGCTGATTCTGGTGAATTCAAGGTGGAAATCAAGAACCAATTTGGGTCTGCCTTCTGTTCTGCTAGTCTTGGAGTCAAGGGTCAGTATTTAGTGATGCCAGAAAGGGTTTTTTCTCAAAAAGGGAATGATCAGTTTGTGATGTTTCTCTGACTTTTACATAACATATAGATACTTTTTCATCTTAAAGTCCTATATACAAGCATTCGAATCATGAATTTTTTATGCAACATAAATTTCTAAGAGTCACTCTTATCATAATGTTTGAAAGGGGGATTTTTTTCAATACTTTTTGAGTTTGTTCAGTATGTAAGCTTAAATGTGTATTAGAGTCTGCATGATGGTGAATTTAAATTGTACCCGGTATTTAAGAAAATTGGTCATGGTGTTCCTTGAAAGTCATTACTACTTCAATGTACCATTATTATTAGAATGGAAAGATACATATATACCTTGATTTAATACACATGTACTGATTGGATCTGATTGTTAATGGATATTTTTCATTGTATGTATACAGCTGCACCAAAGAAACCAGAAGAAAAGAAACCAGAGGAAAAGAAGCCAGAAGAAAAGAAAGTTGAGGTGACTATTAGACCACCAGATTTAAAACTTGGGGGAATTAAATTGAGGGGAGGGGGCTGTTAAACCAAGGTTCTTCTTTCAACTAAGCATAAATCAGTTGTTTTTACAAGATTATTTGTATAAATGTCAGGCATATGACCATTTAGACTTTTATTTTGCAGAAAAAAGAAGAACAACAAAAAGGTAGGCCTGTACCTTTTTAAACAGTTGGTTGATAAAAACATAGGATAATTGTTCAGAAGTCAAAATTCTAAAAGGAAAAACTTCTAAAAAGAGATTTTAAAAAGCCCAAGAAGAACAAGATTTCAGACAAATTTAAGATGACAAGATTAAGTGAAAATGAGACTAAAAATAATTATATATTAATACAATCTTTTCAAGAGATATTGTTAGGTAGATGATAGTGGTGACTTATACCTTAGAGTTTGAATTACCACACTAGAACAGCATAGATTGCTTGGGTTATATTTTTCTTGTGTGGAAGTCTATCATGCCTGCGTTTGTCTAATCTTTTTTTTCTTTTTGGTTTTCCTCACAAACATATGTATATATATTATTTTACCAGCATGCTAGTTTCAAAAGAATATTATTTTAATTTTGTTGAGGTTTTCTCTCCTTTGTATTTAAACTAGTTTAATTCAGTTTATCTTTTCTGTTTTTCTGTTTTTATTTATGCAATTTTTCTTTGTCTTTCTCCTTTCCTTCTTGTACAAACAACCTGTTAAACACCTAAAGTTGAAGCACCTAAGGCTCCTGAAAAACCTAAGGAAGAGCCTAAGGCTCCAGAAAAGCCTAAGGAAGAGCCTAAGGCTCCAGAAAAGCCTAAGGAAGAGCCTAAGGCCCCTGAAAAGCCTAAGGCTCCAGAAAAACCTAAAGAAGAGCCTAAGGCTCCAGAAAAACCTAAAGAAGAACCTAAGGCTCCTGAAAAGCCTAAGGAAGAGCCTAAGGCTCCAGAAAAACCTAAAGAGGAGCCTAAACCTGAAGCCCCCAAAATTGTTATTGATGATGAAGGTAAATTTTGGTTGGTAGGGCCTTCTGAAGAGAAAATCACTCCAAGGTTCCCCCTCACTGTTGTAGGCTTGTTGTGGGTAAGGTGCCCCTGCCCCTTTCATGTTGTGGCCCATCATACTATGTACAGTCATGTCAATTATTTTCCATGTAAATGATGTCATTTGTCAACAGCCAATAAGAATTCACCAAGGCAAATTAAACCATACCAGAAGAAACCTACCACCATTTTGGAAGAGGGTAAGTCCCAGAAAAGCTTAAAGTCAACAGGGTGACAAGATTTTTTTATTTGATGTTGTTCACTATGATGTATCTCTGTGCTTTGTATTGTTTACATTGTGTAATACTTGTGATGGGCACTGAAATATTCATCGAAAGAATTATACTTTTAAGTAAATCAAGAATTTTTTTTCTTCATTTCTTTAATCAATCAAGAAATGAATGAGAAATTAAAGTAAATGTTATTTTTTCATGGAAATGAAGTTTTTTCGGAATGCAGTCATGTAAAATTGCCATCATTTATACTAACAAAGCTAAGATTGACAACAAAATCTGTCACATTCACCCTGTTGACTAGCATGAGATGTATATAAACTGTAAAACAAAATGTAACACTCATGTATACACTGCTTGTTATATCAATACTGAAAATGAATGTCACTCTTTAATACTCAAACTCTGTCTAGTACATGTATCACTGTAGTCTCTACTAAGGGAAGTAACTCTTGCACATCACTGTAGATGTATTTCAGCACTGCAGTACTGCCAGAAACAGATAAAAGGTGTCACTTGTGTTCATTTCTAACTTGAACATTTAGGCTTCTTTTGTATATATTTTCTTTCTTTTGTACACAGCATACATATTTGAATGTATTTATAGAATTATTTTTAGTTTACTAATTTCATGTAGTTGAAAGAATGTGTAACTTATAATCAACAATACTTTATTTCATATAGTATGTTAGAATTAATTTTCATAAATTTTTAAATCAGTATAGATTTTTTATTGCAAGTACATGTATACTTAAGTCACATATTTTATATTTAATGTAATTATAAAACATGGAACCCCCACAGTAGTTAATCATTTTATGTGCACTGATCTTTTTGGCAACAATATCATCATAGCACAGTAATTTGTAAATTCTGTGTCTTTGAAAAAAGAAAAAAAAATGTCTCTCTTTGAATCACACCCCCACACACTAGAAGTAAGTTATTTCCATGTCATTTGTTTTCTTGTTGGTATAACAGCAGTTGTTCTGTATATACATGATGTGACATAAATAAAATTAGCTGACTTAGAATTTTGGTCTCCTAAGACGAGGTCCATGGAATCGTGGACTCCGAGGAGGACGGATACGAAGCGGACGATGATAAACCCGAAATTCCGCTCATCATCACCAACGACGGTAGGTGTAGGGGGGAAACACAACTTGATGTTGTGCAGCTTACGTGGAATTTAATCACTCTGTTGTCAAAAGCTTGGTACTCAATCATGCTTCAGTTTTATTTCATCAGAAAAAAGAATGCAATATGAATTCAGTTCTTTCATAAAACTAAGTCTAAAGTATGCCACTAAAAAATCCATACTAAAGATAACCTGCATAAGGTAAGAATTCGTTATATTTAATTTTATTTATTGATGTTGTTTTGTAATTAATTGCTGATACAGTATACATGTAGTAACATTCCTGTAGTTGTAAAATATCCCTACCTGCATTTATAAATGTTGTTGCATGATTTATTACTTTAAAAAACCTGTTCCATTTCAACACAAATTAATATATTTTTATTTTTTAATTGTGTATTTTATTTCTGTTCTTTTATGACATCCCACAATTTCTCGTACTTCCTCTTACATACATGCACATATTATTAACATTTATATTTAATTTGATGTATTTTGAAAATGCTATATTTAAAAGTTTTTCTCTTTTGTTTTCTTTGTAGAAGGAACACCTGAAAAGGCAAGTTTAAATTTATCTATTTATACAATTGGTCAACATAAAAAAAATTGTTATATTCTTATATGTGTCTTATTATATGTTAAAAATAAAAGTTCAACAAACTAAATTATTTAGCATGCTATAACAACTTCAATGTTGGCCAATCTATCAGTCCAACTTAAGAATTAATTGAAACATGGAGAATTGAGTGGATGCTTTTCTTTTTTGCAGAATGGGGAGTATGAAACACAAGGACCCAAAAGAATTGTGGTCAAAAAGAAACAAGGTGCAGAACCTGCTAAAAAGATTGACGGACCTACTCACAAATTCAAAGGGAAGCCCTCTAATCAGAGTGTGGAAGAAGGTAGGTGGATCAAAGAAACAAAGGGGTGTGGTATAAGAATATGAAACACTTTATAATACAATATACTTTACCTTGCAACTCCTTCCTAGTAAAAATACTCAATATTTATATTTCAACAGATTTAGCAACTTCAACTACCCTTGATTATAAAAGAGGTGTTAATTAATAATTTAAATTATAAAAAATTACTTTGCAGGAAATGACATTTCGTGTAAGTTGGACATTGAAGTTCTGCCTAATGCCCCAGCTCCTGAAGTCCGTTACCTCCGAGGAGGCCGAGAACTAAAGAACGACAGTCGTACAAAGATCGTCACCAAGGGAGACAAGAGCTCCATCCAAATCCGACGATCACGATTCACAGACGAGGCCAAGTATACAGCCATTTTAGAACAGGATGGAGTTCCTGTTGATGAAGCAACATGGAGTGTGTTTGTTAAAGGTAAAAGTTATTTATTCTATTCCTATCAGCTGGATTGAAATACATGTAAAGTTTGTATTTTTCTGCTTTCTGATTATCTCTGTTTCTCAGGAATACTTGGTCAAAATCCTGGTATATTTTGAAATTTGACTTAAAAGTATTTTTCTTTTTAATTTCAGATCCCAAAGACTCTCAGCTGGATTACAGAAATTTATTGAAACACAGGTTTAATTTATGATCATTTTCCTGTTTAAAGTATCTTTTATCTAAAAGTGACCTTTTCGTTCTATGATTTACTCATAACACAAGAAAAAACTTTCCCAACTCATTCTTGCCAAAACTGATTGAAGTCAATATTTTAAAAAAAATTCATTTCTATGTGAGAAACCAATTTCCTTTAAATATTTCCACAGAGATCACAAGAAAAACGAAAAGGAAGAGGATGACATCGACTGGGGATCACTCAAACCAGGTACAAACTTCTATACACTGCTTATACGCCTTAAAACGTTGTGTTTTATATCTGATTACCTTTAAAAAAAAATTTGCAGCTTAATTTTATTGCCAAACAAATTGTCTTTATTGCACTAAAACTGAATAAAAATTACAGCTGGCTTACAAGTCAGAATGTGTTCTTTGCAATTTTCTAAGCCAAGCAGTTTTACAAAAGCTGTTTTTGTTGTGATTAAAACCAGTTTGAAATGAATCATCTTGTTTTAATAAAAATTCTGTAATATATTGTACCATCTGTGTTTATCATGCTGTTAGTACTTGCCAATTTCAACGCTGATGCAATATTTCTGCTGTACTGTGGTTGCCACATGTCATGTAATTAATTTCAATTTCAGATGGGCCAAGTATGTCTTTAAGCGGAGCAATAAGTGCTGTTCATTTTTGCATTGCGCTGTAACAAACTGCAAATCAATATTTTGTGCGCTAGCCTTTAGTATTTTAATGTACAGTATAATGGGTGCATAGCATAGTAGACTCAGCATATCTATATAAGTAGCATTCTTTGTGCGCTGTTGTTAGTTTTGCGACTTCTCTTGACAGGGTACTTCAAATTCTTGACTAAAAGAAAATGCTCCCACCACCAAAATATGACAGTTTTCTGTACCATTTTAAAGAAAACTCTTTTGAATAAAAAAAGGTGCCCATCTTATCAGGCTGTTGCTGTCCTGAATCTGTTGTACTCTGCTCACATTATTTCTCTCTTATTTTTTAATACAGTTACTGTAGCTTTTGTGCTGTTAATTATAATAATTTGGCCATGCCAAATATGACTATCTTCATACTCTTTGTATTAAAACTTTTCTTCTTTTCCCCTCTTTTTTTTTATTAAAGCAAATACATGTATTAATTGTTTGAATATTTACCTGGGGTGTGTAATTTATTAACTTAAACTTACAATAATTTGATTGAGTATACTTTGATTTCAACAAAAAACTTATAGGTTTAGTTGCGACATGGTTTTTACTGGTACATTTGGTAGATGGCATAGCTGAAATTGGCTGTTCTTTAATTATTCTTTAAGATTTTAGATATGAATGAGTTGAACTGACATCATTAGTAATTTAGGACAAAAAAATTGTATACTCTGAGTATTGAATCTTGAATGAGCTTTGAGACAGCATACAACTGAAAATCTTTGATTTACAATTTTCATTGATTAAAAATTGACTAAAGATTTAAAAAAATCATTTGAAATTTTTTTTATATTTTACATTTTTGAAAAGTCAATCTCTGTAAAGGAACAAAAAGATGATATTTTATAAGTAACACACAGCTTTGATCTTTCTGTAAAGAAGTTAATATGAGATATTTTAATTATATTCTGTAATTATTCAGGCAGTAATCAACAAATCCCAACTCTTCAGTCCAAACCCCAAACTTCGGGTTTGTATCAGGACAGTTGTTTTGAGATAGACATTTTATTTTCATTATTGTGTGGGTTTGATTAAGTGTTCGGTTTCAGTAAAACCAGTTAGAAAGGCAGAATCCAGGATTAATAAACAGAAAAAAGAGCTTGAATTTCTAGGCTACATTGAACAAGCAAAATCCTTATTTTATAATTTCAGATGTTGTAAATCATAAATCTTATACAAGAAACACAATTTTTTCCATTGGTAAGGTGACAACTATAGGAAACAAAATATATTATTTTCGTGTGCATAAATTTCATGGAATATATACATTATACATAATTATTATAATATTTTAGATTCCTATCAATATGTATCAGTATTATTCTCTATATGTCTTGAGTACAATTCTTAGGTGACAAAGCTAGGCTTTATGTGTATGTCTGCTATGGTTATCGAGAGCAAAATGGAATGACAAAGAAAATTGCTCATTTGATTATTATATATTATTATATGAATGCTCAAACTATTCAAAATATCATGTACTTAGACAATTCAAGCTCCTTAATAAATCAGAGTGTTGGTGTATAGTGCGATTATTTTCCAAAGGGTGATATAGGTGTTTATTTATGTAGAGTAGAAAATTTATTTGCAAAACTTTTTTGAGTAAAAAGTTTGCAGTTGATCAAAATTCTAGTCTTGGGAAACAATATGAGAAGCATAACATCTCTATGTTAATTAATTTTGTTCATTTTATTAGGTGTGCAGTGACTTCCTTATTTCACTTATTTTAGATAGGCTTATATAGTCCTAGATTTATATGGTAGTTGTATATGTTTCAACCAAACATTTTTGACAACTTTGTTCTGTAGAAAAAATTTAAAAAGCATAGAAATTCCCTTGATCATCTTAGTCCTAGCTCTTTATTTAGATTTCATTACAAGTTGTCAGCTATGTTCTATAGACTTTAGTTTACATGTATTTATTTCTATTCACCCTGCATAGTCTTGTACTTAGTTAGACACTTAATACTTTGGAACACATAAAACTTCAGACACATAATTTCTAAGTTGTATGTAAAGTTAAATGATAAATCTGCACATCCACTGTGGTGTTTGTTCACACTTTTCCTTTTTCCAATCCATGGTAAATTCCTATGTTGTTTGTGCAATATCCCTTTTCAAACTCATTTTTAAAACAATTAGCAGCATTTTTAAGAGCACTTTTAGGGAAAGAAGTATTAATTTTGGTGTTTTGTGGAAATAATTTGGTTGGAATGATATTTTACAGTGGATAAGAAAGGACGTCGCCCATCAGAGATTGAAATGATGAAAAAACAGCTGAAGAAAGTGCCAGGAAGCGACAGTGAAGATGAAAAGGTAAATTTCTCTGTCATGTTAGCTTGTAGAACTTTGGTGTTTTGAGGTTTATTTTTCTAGATACTGGTTCATGTTGAAGGAACCCTGTAAACTCTTTGATTATTCCAATAGTGGTAAGCTATTTGAATTGAGCATCAGGCAGATGTAGAAAGAATCCAACCTCTATTGTTCTGGTAATGAATAAAGGTATTCCCTCCTACTCAGATCAAGGACCAAAAATGTCACACGAGATTTCTTAATTGAACCTTTTAATATGCAATAAAAAATTGTTTTAGACCTACAAGAAAAAAACATAAGTTTGTACCTAATTATTTTGTTACAGTTCCGTTCATCTAGTGGCAATGCTGTTATTTATGAGGAAGATGAGGTATATTTAAAAAAGTCCCTTTAACAATTTCATTAATCCTTTTTAATCTTGAGATTATTCCTAGATGCTTCCACTTCACTTTGAACATTGAAGCTGCACCATAGTGAGTAACAAGTCATCCACCGGTTACAGAGGCTGCACAAGTTTACATCAAAATTATTTTTTGTTGTTTTTAGCAGCAACCTTTAATTTTGACATTCAGTTGTTAACCAAGTTCTTATTGAACATTACATGCAATATCATACTTGCCTTTGCACTTAGATTCTGTCAGAACTAATTATATAAGACATTGTTTTGCCAAATTTCACATTATTAACAGTTTGAATATCACGTCATACCCCTTATTTAGCAACAGCCCCAGGACAGCCTTGCAGAATGCTGAATTGATTCTAAGGAATAATTGTTTTGCTGATTATATTGTATTTATTACTGTAGAATTAGTTAATTATTTGTTGATTGAATTATCAGTGCCCCAGTAGAGGGCCTTCCAGACGAAGCTCCCTGATCTCTGATGATCAGCCGTATTACCCCTCCTCACGCAAAGATATGTCACAACGCCGCTGGTCCAATGCCTCGACTGATTCACAAGGAGACCCTTTTCATGTCGTTTTAAAACACAGAAAAACTGTTGATAAGGCAGGTCTTGTGTGACTGCATCCATTGCCCTAAGTTTGGGTGTGGTAGAGGAGTTGAGAACCTCATAATTCTACTACGTGAGACGTGCCTTTTAGAGGATTTTTTTTGCTGTGAAAGTCAAAATAATTTGGCAAGACTGTATAGGTTTTAGGAAGTGAACGATTAATTTTTGCTTCTGCTTACAAATCAATGCTGGTAGTATATAGTCTACAATGTTGCTTCATCAGTTGAAAAAAATAAGTGTCATATTAGTTAGTATTACATGTATGATATGCTTTCATGTTATAGGTAGATCTTCTGGTTTCTGGTTTTTAGATTGTATCAACTACATAAGATACATTCCTTCATTACAAATGGTTGATATAATGCTCTCTAAAGACCAGACATGAGGATGTACATACCATTAGAGTAAACGCTTCTCCCCTTAGCCGTAGTTAGATGAGTGTGTTAAGTTTGTCTGTGTGTGTGTTTTCATTAGGATAGAGGCAGTAGAAGACAGTCGGTTGAAACACTTGATATTCCAATTAAAAAACCATCAGCTGACAAACTGGAGGCTATAGACCAAAAACGTAGATCCTCGATGAACCAGCGCAGAGCCTCTTTGGTAGAGCTCATTCCTGACTGGCCAACTCTTCAGCATAGGGAGGTCAAAAAAGAGGTATCAGACATGTGCAGTATAGCCTTAACAAAATATATATAACCTCTAGCTTACAATGCTTTTCTTAACTTTTTCTCAGATTCTTCTCTTTCCTTCACTTATGCCTGAGCAAAACACCAGTTTTTAAAGATATATATACCCTTCAACCTTCTTTTATTTTAATGTTTATTTTCAGCAAGTTCCTATTCCAAAATTACTTTTTAATGATCATACACTTGCTTGAAAGAAATGAAACACATGCTTTCTCTGCACAAAACTCTTATTTGAAGATTCTTTAGTCTGAAAAACTTTTTGGTAGAAAACATTTATTTTTTTCAATGATTAAATAATAATCTGCACTTGCTTCAAAAGACCTAGAATTTCAGCCACCTTACAAGGTACTGTAAACCAAGAGATTTTTCTTTAGGATAGAAGCATGGTTTGAAGGTTTCTTAGCTTTAGCAAAAGTGTGGACTCAAATTTTAAGGCCAACTATAAAAAAAAGATTTGTTTGATGTACTCTGCAAGAGTCTTCAAAATTGCCCCTATCCAATCAATTTTTAGCATTGAATTTTTTTTCAATGAAAATACAGATTTTCTCTATCATTAAAGTTTCGTTTATCATTTGCCCATCACACTTTTTAGATAAGTAGGATAAATCAGTTGTTTGTCAGGTGTTTAATGAAAACAGTAAATTTTAAAGACTGAATTTTGTATGATCTTGAAAACCTGCCTATCCATCTTGAAAAATGAGGGTTAGAGTACATCAAACAAAATTTTATATAAATTTACGATGGCCTAAACAGTGAAAATATCTTTTATCTTTCTTCCTCAGCTATTTAAAAAAATAAGAAAAATATTTTGTCTACAGATTCATTCTATTTAAAGAGAAATACAATGTAGAAATTGAAGTAATTTTCATGATTTATTTATTAGATTATTTTTTACTAAAAAATAAAAGAGAATTCAGTGTTTTTTATGAAAACAAGTCCCAATTCAAACTTGTAAAGTTCTTGAAGTATAATATATTATTGTTATTATATAGGAACCAGACAAGTTTATCCAAGATCTGCAGGACATGAAAATCAAGGAAGGCACAAAGGAGTGCGTAATGCAGTGTGAATTCTGTAAACCTAATGCTAAAGTCAAATGGTTCAAAAATAAACTGGAGATCTTCAGTGGTCACAAGTATCACTTCAAAAACGAGGGCAACATCTACAAACTGATACTTAACAATGTCAAACTGGAGGATGGAGGAAAGTACACTTTGGAATGTAACGGCGTCAAAACGTCCGCTTGGTTGTACGTGGAAGGTAGGTAATCCAGAGATAATGGAGATAATCATGTACGTGTATTAAATCCCTGGGGAAATTTGTTAAAAATTCTGTCCAGCGATATTTGCGCAGTATGAAAACAGCGCTTTATCTCCAGTACCCCCGCGCCCCAAATTCCCAGTCCCTTCCCAGACCCTACGTTTTATTCACACTTCGCTCCAATATTTCAGGTAAATTCAACCAGGACTTCTTTATTCTTCTATACTTTTCTTTTCCTCTCTGGTTGATTTTGCATAATTATGTATCTACTGCATGATACATATTTATCTATGCATGAACTGCTTTTGAGAATACATCTTTTTACTGAGATGCATTGATTTCTTTAGCAGCGCTAGTATTAAGAGGGCAGTCCTTAGCAGCATTTTTAGACAATCTTGCTTGTGAAAACTAAAAATAGTCTTGTTATATAGGCAAATATGGGAATAAATGAATTCCAAAAAGTTCATTCAAATAATATCTTGGAACTTTTCTGCTTATAGTTTTGAATTGTTGCATTTAAATCATTTTTCTTTAAGTTAATAGATATGAAATAAATACATTTTTCTACTTAAGCTTTGCGAATAGCTAGCTGTCTGTCCGTCTGTCTGTAAACAATTTTTCAAAATGCTACTCCTCCTACAGTTTTGGTCTAATTTCAATATTTGGCACACAAGTAGACTACACTAAGATACATAAATCTGTGTATCGGTTTTTGATTTCGATGAACGGTGTTGCCATGGTTACTAAAAATAGAAATATCTGTAAAATTGTTTCAAAATGCTACTCCTCCTACAGTTTTGGTCTGGTTTCAATATAACTTGGCACACAAGTAGAATACACTAAGATACATAATTCTATATATCGAATTTTAATCTTGATGAACGGTGTTGCTGTGGTTACTAAAAATAGAAATATCTGTAAAATTGTTTCAAAATGCTACTCCTCCTACAGTTTTGGTCTGATTTCAATATAACTTGGCACACAAGTATAAACATGCTACTCCTCCTACAGTTTTGGTCTGATTTCAATATAACTTGGCACACAAGTAGACTATACTAAGAACATAAAGAGACTTAATCAATGATCATTATTCTATTTATTGCTGTTGTAAATTTTCAAATCCCAGCTGCTTAAGTACTTTTCTCTTCCTTTGCTATAAGTTCAAACCAGTAGAGCTTCAGTCTCGACAGAGACTTCTGGTTCCGGAAAAGTAAATGTTTACGTATTATAGTGAAATTGTATTATTAAATGAACACCCATCTTTTAGCAGAATCTACAAGGTGTGTTTCAAGTTGCAACAATTACAGCTATGAGCAGAATTTTCTGGGATATTTTATTTCTGGTCAGTGTTTTGACTCAATTTTATGTATCATTGTAGCCAAGGAACCCGATTACTTCTTCACCCAGAAATTACCCGAAAAATACTCAGTCACCAGAAGGAAGGAAGCTGTCCTAGAGTGTTTCATCTCTGACCCCAGGGCAAAGGTCAAATGGTACCGCAATGGAGAACACATTGATGTAAGTATCAGCCTAAAAATAGGACACTTCTACTTGAGTCTCTTTCTTTTGTTAGATATATAATTGACTTTGTATCTTATTATCTACATTTATTATTTTCTGAAAGCTTCTTTGGACATCAGGTAAAAGGAGTGCAGAATTCATTCAATAATTTTCAAGAATTGAATTAAGAGTTGTTTTTTTTTTTAAGAAAGTGTGTATTTGTAATATCAGATGTAGTTTTTTTAGAAGATTTGTAAGGAATCTTCATATTCTTTCATTGTGTAAATGTAGAGAAAAATTATTAGAGAAAACCCAGATAAGGTAAGAAAAGTCACAAAATGCACACTCCCTCTCAAAGTAAACTAAGAGTCTCCTTATTAATGGACACTGCACAAAATTCTAAAAATAACAGTCTCTTTGTAAGTTATCAATGTGCCTCTTTTGCACCAATCTATTCACATCTTGATGCTTGGTAAATCTCTTCCCATTTTATCTGGAATTTTTGGTATTTAGTAAGGAGGTTTTCCAAGCATAAAATGGATAGGTTGCCTTCTTAAACCAATTCCTTTTATTTAATACAATTCAAAATATTTCAAGCACTTTAATACAAGAACCTTTATGACTTCTTTTACAGTTCACATTATGATATAAATGTATAATTAAGCCTTTGTACCCAGCACTGTTTAAGTACATGTTCTTCTATCAGCTAACAGTTTATTTCACACTTCTGTTCTACTTATGATTTGTTTATTACTGCACAGGTGCAGGTAATCCCCTCCCTAAATTGTTGTAGTCAAGTTTTATTTAAGATTTCATTTGTTACATCTGCTTACTGTTTAATGTTGAAGTCTATCAGCCATACCAATTATCATTCCACATTGAAAACTACAAAAAATTTTTAATTGTCATTTTCTATTTTGTCTAAGTGTTTTTCTTGAGTAATTCTGCTTTTCTGAAAAAAAAAACATGCAAATACAAAGTATTTAAGGGGATTCAAGAATGTTTATGGCATTTTTAAAAAAATTGTTATCATGACCCCCGGGGATTGGGGCCAAAATGGCAGATCAAAGTTTTACATAGGAATATATAGGAAAAATCTTTAAAAATCTTCTTTTGGGCCAGGAAAGATGAAACTCATGTGGAATCATCTCAGGTAGTATAAATTCAAGTTTGCTCAAATCATAACCCCTGGGGGTAGGGTGGGGCCAAAATAGCCGACCCAAGTTTTACATAGGAATATATAGGGAAAATCTTTAAAAATCTTCTTCTCAAGAACTACATATATATTAAAAAAGTCTTTAATCTTGGTCTAGATTCAAGGTTGAGCTAGGAATATATAGGAAAAATTTTCTTCTCTCAGGAAAGATGAAACTCCTGTGCAATCCAAATTTGTCATCATCTGACCCGATAAAAGTTTTAATGAATATATTGGGAAACCTTTTAAAATCTTCTTTTCAAGTACTTCAAAATGCTTAGTGTTTCCAGGTAGTGTGATTCTAGTGTGTCCAATCCCTGGGGGGTTAAAATTTCAGTTCTGATCTGATAAGCCAATTGCTCAGGTGAGCGATGTGGCCCCTGGGCCTCTTGTTCAATCTTGGTCTGTCAAGGTTGAGCAGGTGTCTCTTGCCCAATGTCATCATCTGACCCAATGTAAATGAACTGTTTCCTGTTGTGATTAAATCGATCTGGACCCTTTAAGAAGGCCTGGGTCCTAGCCTTATGTGGTGGATCTACAGTGGTGGGAATGTGGTGGATGTCTGGAAAGGGAACCACACTGGAGTTCAAATTTTGTCCTTGCATTACAATATCACCTGCAGAATCTAAAAACTGGCTAGGCTCAAAGGACGGATTGGCTTGGAATTTTATGTGATGATGAAGTTTTGGGTTAGGTTTTTCAATGCCCATACCACCAGGAAAGTGGGCTGGGGACAAGGCCTCAGCTCTGATGCTGCCACGCTGATATACATCCTGAAGGTTACGTCCAGAATTGAATACAAACAGCATTTCCTTAGCTTTTGGCAGGCGCTTCTTGATGCGTTTCCTGTGAGTTATTTTGTTTGTCTTGATCAGTCTATGAACAAAGAACCAGTACATGAACGTCAGCATGCAGTTCACGCTGCCCTCAGGAATGTCTCTCCTGTTCTTCAGGGCTTTCTCAATATCAGAGGTCAAAGGTTTGATTGGAAGAATGACCTTGGTGACAAACGAACTTCCAAGGACATTAAAAACCTCATATTCACTTCCTGTTTTGACAAAAATAGATGTTCTTATGCTAACTCCCGCATCATATAAGATGGCCGAGTCATGTTCATGAAGTTCTTCTCCAGCTATTATAAGTCGACTTTGTCGCATATCAAAACCAGATTTTGCCTGAATTTTTTCTTTAAACTGACCAATAGTATGCATCACCGAAGCATAAGTTTTGTAAATGACTCCATCAGGTGTGTGGACAAACACCGCAAACTCCTCAAGTTTTAAGGAGAGAGGTGTTTTAAGATCATATACTACATTCTGAATAATACTGCTGTTTGGAAGCTTTTTATTTCCAATGAGAAGTTGATATTGCAAAGCATTTGGCACTCCAAAATGTTCTAGTTTCTTTTTGATGCTCCTAACAGTCTTATTGGCTGCAACCTTTACATTTTCGATTATTCCATTTCCAAGACTTACCCTCAAGGGTACCCCAAACATGAGGTCCCCATCTACATGTGTCATGACAACATTCATGACAATAGGGGTACCTTTAGGGACTTCACCAATTGTTCTCATAAAATTCAGCAGCTCATTGTCCTTGTAAAGTTTAATGAAATCCACAGGAACATTAGTTAATCCATGCATCAGAAATGCTACCACTGACCATCGATCATATCTAGAAGCCTTGACTTCATATCTCTGTCCATTGTCCGTAACCACTGAAATGGCTTGTGATTTCATGTGATTTTGATGAACAACAGTAGAAAGTGAAAGTCTGTCTCCTGATTTGATGGCCATCCCAGCTAGGCAGTAATCCCAAAGAACAAATCTGGATTTGTGACTCAGAACTAAAGTATGTAGAGGGATAAAGAATTCATGAACACCATCATATTCTCTGGGACCAGAGGGGCTAAATGTTCGACTGAACACATTGAGGACAACGTCAGTACCAGTGCTGCAGGGATCCACATAGAATCTGTAGGTAATCCCCCAGAATGTGTCTACATTGATCAACAAATCAAAGTGAGCTTGAATCATCACATACAAGATGGACCTGTTCTTCACCCTGTATTCCAGTAGTCGGCGATTGTTCTCCAGGGCTTGGTCCATATAAAGCAGTTCTTGTCTGTCAATAGGAATCCCTCTCATCTTCCTGATGTGTTTTTTAAGACTGTACACTGTCATAGAAGGATGGACAGACAGGGTGAAATTTACGTAAAGTTGAGCAATATCGATGGTCACATGATCACGACTCCGAGGGAAAATCATGACGACTGAACCAGGCCTGACGCTGTATACACTTTTAAGATCTAAGGGAGATAACTGCCCAGGAGTCAGCATCATCAGTTTGTGTTGGTGTCTCTCATAGCCGAGATTGTTCTGTGAATATTTCACTATCCGCGACATGAGGTTGGATTCTCCTGGAGGGAAGATTGCGATGCTGTCTGGTTTGAGGTAGCTCCAGACCGCGGTAGTCTGAGCTGAGGGACCCTTGGAGTTGAGGACGGGATAGATGAGTTCATTCTTGTAGGTTTCTGACGAATCACTGGAGAAGGAAGATTCACTCTGGTCATCATCGTCAGGGTGTCTGGTGAAACCACTCAGGCCCTGGGGCTGTAACAGTACGGAGGATCCCTTCAAAGAGAAAAAAATTTAAATTTTTCACAGAGCCTGAATTTTTTTTTCAATTAAAAAAAATATTGTATTTTTTAGATATTTGAATTTTTTTCTTTTATGTTGAGATTTGTTACCTTTGGTGGTATGGTAGGTAAAATAATATCACTCTGTATCACAGGCTTCTCATAAAACTGGTCCATTATTCTTCACCAGAATACACAACATTAGCATGTGTCAGCATACACATCTGTTGATCAGATGATTGTTTTATGAAATATTTATTGAATTATTTCACTCATGTGTTTTATCAAACTGCCAGAAGTTTATGGTGCTTAATCTGCTTTTCATGTAATAGCTAAAAACTTTTCCTTGTCAGTTTTCCTGAACATTTTAATTTCAGACCTTACTTAAAAATCTGCCAGAGTTTGGAGAGTTACTTTGACAGGTTAAAATGATCTGGATAGCAGCTGTTATTATGCAGGGCCCTCAAATTCTGTAAAAATGCATTTATCTAACCTGGCCCATATTTTAAACATTTATTTTATCCTTCTTAATGTTCGGATAACAGATCATTAACATGATTAATGTTCTAAAATGTTACCTTCTTGATAATATCACTCCACCACTTCTACCATATTAAATTTGTTTATAGTTTAAGTTTGTGTATGTTGAAGATTTAAACCATTAATTGTGTTTCAGTTCATTATGACAAAGCTTTTATTTATAATCATTTCCCTTATCAATTAAATGTTTTTATCTAATCATGCATATAAGAATTTTAACGTCAGGTTAAAAGGTATCAATTTTCATATTTGAAAGTTTTTTAAATGTTTAAATCTTTGTTGTTGCCTTTTAAATTGTCATATGGGAATTCTTTTAATTATCAGAGATATAGATAATGAAATTATGATTAACAAGATAGAATTAAGTCTGCAAAAGTCCTTATCATTTTTTTGCGTATTTCTTATTATCATGTGTACTAGACTTTTTTTCAAATGAATATTGATTTATCACTGTAAATTTTGAAGAAGCGTCAAGCATTATACATGTACCAATATCATCAAGTTACATACAGCAAATCATTTTCATTGAAAAACAACATTTTCCTTATTTTTTTAAGTCAACAACTCTGAATAACCCTAGTAATCAATATTTACACCTGATTTTGATTTCCTTGTCTACAGTACACACCTGGTAAGTTGGAGATCCAGAGAAGAGAGAACCGCTGTATCCTGAGGGTCAAGGACGCTCAGCCCGAGGATGAGGCTGAGTTCATGTGTGAGTGTGGTGCCGCCACCACCACCTGTAAACTCAAGGTCGAAGGTCAGTTTACAGAGTGTTACAACCCTATTTCATTCATGGTGTATGTATTAATTTTACTTTTGTCTCATTGTGCTTATGTTTAAAATGGATATATATAATATTTTTAACATTTCATATTATAGAAAAGTAATGTCACACACTAGAAATTTGGGACAAAAGATAAAATGAAAAAAGCTAAAACAAATATACATGTATTCTGTATATGGAATCAGATCCAACTAAAATGATTTAAATAAGAACTAAGTATTACCCGGTAACACATAAAACAAAGAAACTAAATGTTTATACATACGTTTGCCCTACAGAGCCTGAGTGGGACTTTATGAAGCTGTTGGAGGATGTAGAGGGAGTGGAGCGTGACAAGGCCGTGTTTGAGTGTGACGTCAACGACCCTGAGGCCGAGGTCACATGGTGGAAAGGAAACAAGGTTAGTTATGCTAAAAATAGTAATTTAAAGGCTGGTCAATCATATACTGTAAACATACTTTTTTTCCAAATGCTGAGCATTCTGCCAAATCACAATTTCTGTTCACTTTACTGGTAAAAAAAATAGTATGATTTCTGAGGGTGGTACTATTATACAAATATGGACTCAATGTAGGTCAGTATGTATTTATAATGACCCAGGATGACAGATATTGACCAAAGATACATGGAGTATACCGATCAAGGGCGCTAGCTCGAGGTCAATATTCTACATGTACATGTATCTGAGTTTATTTAAAATTTATTATAAATTTATTAGACTAAGTACAATGTATATCTTCCTAGTGTTTATAGAGATATTGATATGCTGTTGTTGTTATCCATAAATAAGTTGAATGTAAATGTCTCAAAATCTATTGAATGTTACTAGGAGGCACTTGAAGCGGTAAGAAATTTTAACCCATAACATAATAATAACACAAGGTTTCTAACTAGCTCCAAATAACACAGAGTACTCCCTCCCCCAGAATCGCACTCATTTACACTTGCAGAGGAAATGCACTGACAAAGTGTTAATACGTTTGTCTTCTACGATAATTTATCTACGCAATCATAAATGGCATGCTTGTGTTTATTTTCTTTCGTCTCCGTAAACAGCGTCAAAACTCTGCTCGACGAGTTGAAAAGTTGAATTCAACCATGAAATGGTATGTGCTAAGTATTCCCTGAAAAATGTTAACAGATATCCTTGTTAATCGTTTCGTATTCTCAGACTCAGAGTTTTTCACTATATCTTTTAAATCCTCACCTACAACTCGCAAACTTGCGAACTTCCATGTTTGACTAAAGTGAAAGTGGAAAAAAAGCTCATAATTCGCTTTCAGCAGTCATCATAAAAAAATAACGGTCATTATTGACCAATCATAATATATTTGATAAAATATACTGTAAGAATTTCCTCAGAAAGTTTGTGATTAATACATATGCAAATAAATACAGCAGGCAAATTAATACCACAAGGAAAAAGGTACATCTATGGTAAAAAAAAAAAAGAGTCTCGTCCATGTTTTGAAGTGTGCACCATTGTTGTACTATCTAATGCATGTATTTTCATTGAACAGGAGCTGAATGGAGGTGGAAAATATGAGATCCAGAAAGACAACTTCAAACGTAGACTGATTGTCAAGAATTGTCACATGAAGGATGATGGAGAATACACCTGTAAAGTGCTGGATAAATCAACCACAGCCAACCTCTTCGTGGAACGTAGGTCCATTTCTTGATAGCTGGTAGCTTGACTTGACATCTTTCAAAGTAGCAGATTTAGTAAAATGTTTAATGGAAAAAAAGGTCACTACTGTAATGAAAAAAAAATTGATGAAACCTTGTTAGGTGATGGTGAAATATTTTCAACAAGATCATAAGTAAATTTAATATGTATATATGTTTTGTAACTATTTTTCAGCTGACATCAAATTCTTCAAGAAGCTGGAGAACAAAAAAGAGAGGGAGACAGGAACCTTGGTGTTGGAGTGTAAAGCATCTAACCCACACAACCAGCCTGTCAAGTGGCTCAAAGACGGCTTGCCTATCAACAAGGATGACCCGTAATCCTTATAAATATCTAAAACTTGAAAGTTCATTTTGAGAAAGAAAATTGCTCACATTTGTACTGGTTTTTTTTTTCCTGGAATGTTAAATTTTTCAACAAATTATCATGAAATAAAGAAATTTCCTATTGTAAAGGGGGTACAAAAATTAACTTCAAGAGCACATCTTTAGATAATTGTTATATAATTTTTTGCCTCTCTGTTTGCCAGGAGAATTGAGGTGACCAGGAAGGGTGAGATGCACAAACTTGTGATTACGAATCTGAATCGTGACGATGCTGAAATATATAGGAAAAATAGAAATAAAAAATAAAATGTGGAAGCACTGGGCTAATGACAGTATACATGTCAAGTGGGAGAAAGACCAACCAAGGCTGATGTGGTTGTTGAAGAATGTAAGTGTATAAAACGTAATGGATCATCAAATAGAGAATTTGAATCATGGATGGATCATGAGGGCAAAATACCACAAGGTACTATGCATTTAAAGCAATATTTTCAATTAAAAGTTTACATTACTTATCTGTTACAGTGCCAAAACCACCAAAAGTGGATCCCAAATTCATCCCAGAAGAAATTGTTGTCAAAAAAGGAGAGTGTATTGAATTGGAGATTCCTTATGTTGGTGTGTACAAAGAGCTTATTGCGTGTTAAGAGAAACCAAATTTTTGTTTTTTGTATCTTACAAGTACAATTCTTTAAAGATTTGATATTAATTAATTCATAGAATTAATTAAAACTGAAAGTAGAAACAAGTTTTTGATAAGTCAACTTAACCTCTTACAGTGTATCTGGAATAGGTACACTGTAAGACTTGCACTGCCCTTCATAGCAGTGCAAGTCTATACCTATCATTGATGCTGTAATGTAAATGTTTTTTAGGCACACCTAAACCTGTTGCTCAGTGGAAGAAGGACGGTACAGGCCTCAGTGAAGCTGATACAGACATACAGACAACAGACAAATCGGCTAAACTCAGGATCCCTGACGCTCAGAGAAGTGACACTGGAGAGTACGAACTCACACTCACCAACGAAGTGGGATCTGAGATCATTCCCGTTCCTGTCAGGGTTCTGGGTAAGATTGTTAAAAAATTATTTGAAATTTAATGAAACACATTTCAAAGTTGTGTTATGGAAGTAAAAAAAGTATTTTTAAACTATAAGAGGGGAAATACAAATGGATTTTTTGTGTATTTTGGAAATGAAAAGTCACTAAGTCATCAGACTTTATAAGGTTAAAAAATTAATTATGGTGCTGACTATGAAATGACGCAATCATGTGAACTAGGCTTAGTCAGGATTTTATCACTGCTAACATGAATACAGTAATGTTCTTTCAAGGGAATGAATATTTTAAAACATTTGTTTTAGATCGTCCTGGTAAACCTGAAGGACCTTTGGATGTTGTGGATGTGTATTCTGACCGCTGTTCACTGCTGTGGGACAGACCTAAAGATGACGGTGGCAGCCCCATCAAACATTACGCCGTGGAGAAGAAAGATGCCGCCAAGGACACCTGGGAGGATGTGTGCACCACAGAAGACTTAGAAATCGACGTCACTGGACTCAAGGAGGGACACCGCTACCAGTTCCAGGTCAAGGCCGTTAACGCTCAAGGAATCAGTGACCCTCTGGTGGCTGATGGTGAAATCATCGCTAAAGATCCATGGGGTATTTTTACTGCATTAATTGCATGGCAGACTGCAAATTTGGACCATTATTTCAAACTTTTTCCACCAAGATTAAATTGTTGGGACTTTAAAATGTGATATAATGTAGATTAAACCTTTTCATCTTAAGTTAAAGAAATACAAGTTTCTTACTGGTTAACCTTAAACTGTGTAAGGAAATTCAAACTGAAAAAAGATTCTTTATTTTGGGCTGTTTTGTTGTTTAGATCCATCTGATCCCCCAGAGAGGCCAGAGATTATTGACTTTGATAAGGATTACGTGGAGATCTCCTGGAAACCACCGCTCAATGACGGAGGTGCTCCTATTGAAAAATACATCATTGAGAAACGGGAGAAAGGATCCGATAAATGGGATAAGGTGAGTTAGTTACTGTCCTATTGTTCTCAGACTGGGTATACCTCTTTGTAGTGGTAGATAAAATGTTCTACTAGCTTTCCAAGTTCTAAACTCCATTACCTTTCTCTAAAGCTACAAGAGCTGTGAAAGAACAGTATTAATTGAAAAAAAATACACTAGCATTTTGGAGGTTATGAATTTTACTAATGATAGTATCATGGATCATTGATAGCATTTATTTCATTATAATATAAAAGTAAGAAGCATGTAATGAATTATAATGTATTGTCAGGGTGTGGAAGTGGATGGAAATGAAACTACAGGCACTGTCGAGGGTCTGACGGAAGGAAAGGAATACGAGTTCCGTGTCATGGCCAAGAATCGGGCCGGCCTGTCACAGCCCAGCACTGTGACACCACCTGTAGTTACTAAGGCTCGCAGAGGTAGATACCTTACATTTATAACGTACATATCGTGGAATAGAGCATCAATGAAATGGAAATAACTTTCTACCATGTACAGTAAAACTTGGTTTTAATTAACATGCTCATATTGATTTGACGCTTATAGGGTAGTGATTTACATTCTCCTTGGGTTCAAAATTTAATGTTAACTTAATGGATATGAGGAATTAATGTTTATTAAGAAACAATATCACTCTGACACCCCTGGCACTTTACAAGCATATTTTACCGTTTTGTGATATCTTTCTGAATTAGACTTAGGAAATTCAGAATGTCTTGTACACATGATATTTTAGTAACTCGGAAACCTAAGGCAACTGTAAATAAAAATGTGTATTTCTTTTACACAGTCAAACCAAGAATTATGGACAAGAACAAATTGTTACCAATTCGAATCAAGAGAGGTCAGCCATTCAATATTGATGTCAGCTACATTGGAGAACCTTTGCCCACTGTCACATGGAAGAGAAAGACACTGGTATGTAGGCTGATTCAGGAATCCTTTGATAAGACTGGTTAATTGATAAATAAAAACAATGAACATATTAAGTAAATATTTACATGTCGAGTCAAAGCATAAATGCTGACTAAGTGTGTTTTTAAAAATAATATGCAGAGGAAATTTAATTTTTTTGCAGGATATAGACTCCGATTCAGAAACAGAAATAGACTTTAAGGTTTAAATTTGATGTTTAGATCTATACATCTAGGTCTGCACGGTTATTAATTGTAGAGAATCTCTTTTCTGAAGTACACTGTAAACTGAAACGATGTAGTGCAAATTTGATTATCAGTTTCAAAGTAAATGCACTACTTTTATGTGGTTTCCAAAGCAAAGTTTCCAGATACGTTAGATGCATTGGGATTGTAGATTAAACCATATAATTTATAAAGTGCTGTACTGTATATGTGATAAATGTAAAAAGTTTTTGGTTCTTCCACACATTATAATAGTAATTCTAAGATTTAAAATTGTAAGTTTGATGACATTTGGGAATTTAAACAAAATTCTTGTATAGACATTAACTAAGGAACAGACATATGTTTACCTCAAGGATGTTCAGCTCATCTGAATATTGGGCAGGCCTCTTTGGGTGTGAAATCTAGCAAGAAATCAGAGAAGTAACAAACATTTTAGAAAGTAATGTATAGACATGTGCAAAAATTTCAAACTTTGTTTAAAAGGACTAATCTTATTCTGATTAGATTTGCACTACATTGTTTCACTCTACAGTGAACCATTTTTACTCTACATTTCATATTGTAAATTGTATTGATATTTATCTATAGCTTTAATATTTGATAGAATACCTTTATGTTAGTTTTTCTTTAATCTATATATATTTTTTTACAGGTATATCAAGTAGAATTAGTTATTATTAACATATATGTAACTTTTTAGTAGAAAATATACTAAGTCATATAAAGTACACAGCTTGTCTATTATGATACCTGCATATATGTACAGGTATGCCGCATGCGAAATAACAACTGCGCATATTATGTCGGTTTTTGAATTTAAATAGTTACAAATCTATTTATGATGGGTATTGAAATACATTTTTAAATTGGTCAGTGATGCGTGGTAGGAAAAAAAGGTTATCCAAAAAACTTCTGATAAATTGCATTTCTGGGAGGTACTTATAATTTTGAATGAACATCAATATCTTTAATGCTTGAAGGTTTCTCATATTGATTTCAGCATTCTAAAGTACACATATCTACTGGTTAGCATTATTTCAGCATTCTGTTATACAATTATATCTACTGGTTAACATTATTTCAGGTCGTAGGTCACAGGGTAAGATAAAAGTTCAAAATGGTCAAAGTTCACACAGCTTGATTTTCATCCTAACATAAACTATTCTTCCATGTTTCCATTGGCACATTTGCTACAAGCTACTGACAAGACAACATTTTAATACCTTTGACCCATACTTTCTCCAGTAAATCACATGAATAATTACAAAATTTTCTTGGTTAAAAAGCACCAAAATCCTTTAAAATTCACCTAAACCCAGGGCTCATTGAGCTTTTCTGATCAAAATTTGTCCATTGTAGGGATGGGTATCGCCAAAAATTTCGTATCGCGATATATCACGATTTTTTTCCCAAAATATCATGATAATATCATGATATTTTTAAAAGCAGTTTTTACAATGATTTTATATGAAAAGTCATTATTTTTCTAAAAAATATGATAGAAAAACAAAATTTTACTCTCTTGAAATTTTTATGTATATAAAATCAATTATGTTTGGATGGTAAGATGCCGTTCTTTTCACTTTTTACAACATTTTTTTATACTTTCTGTAATTGTAATTTGAAAAAATGAACAAATAAATGAATAATTTCTGGACTTTATAATATGTACCTAAAGACCGGTATTTATAGGTCTCCGTATCACGATACGTATCACACAACAAAAAATCCCGATATACCGATAAAATCGCACATCCCTAGTCCATTGTGTGTGGTATTGCTATTATCATAAACTTTTTACAATTTCGTCTTTTTCTCCAGAACAACTAAGCCATTTTCAGCCAGACTTTACATCCTTTGATGAAGGAATTCAAGATTTTTTCAAACAAAGGGACATGTCTTCTGACAAGGAAGATAATTAATTCAATACTATAGCATCCTTAAAAATGTTCTGAAGAACTTACTACTAATCCAGAAAGGATGAAACTTAGTTGATTGCTTTGAGTTGATTACTTTGTATAGATTCAAGTTTGAAAAATTTTCTCTAGAACAAAAGGCTAGTGTGTTGATCATATTGATATTGAAGCATCCCAATGTATATTTTTGTTATGAAATAAAAGAGGGAATTAAAACATATAAAGAAGAATAGCAGAGTCAAAGTGACCCAAGTGAGCATTTTGGTCCACGGGCCTCTTGTTTACTGTTTTCACCAGCTGTTCCTTTCTCAGGTTACTTATTTTTCCATTGCAACTCCTTGAAATGAATACAGTAAATGTAACTTAATGAAAAAAATGATGGGTCATATCATAGAATATTCAGCTATGTAACAAGCTACATATATAAAGCAAAGCTACTGAATAAAAAACTTGTGCAACAGCAGAGATGAAAAATTTAAATGCAAGCAGCTTACTTTTAATCGGTGCTTTTACTGCAATGGCAAACAAATCATATGCAATAAAAAAAGAAAGGAAGCGCTCATGTTGAATTTTTAATATGTTGAAGATAAGCAGCATAATTTAATTAACAGAAGTTCTTTAAAAATAATTATTTAACCCAGTTTTTGCATGATATGCTTAAAGGTTAACACAATATTTGAATTGCTTTTCATTAAAATTTGTTTTGAACAAATTAGGATGGAAAAGAGGAGGAGATAACTCCCGATGCTAACATACAAATTGACAACAGCACACCAAAGAAGACAAGTTTGAAATACTCATCAGGTGATCGTAAAGACACTGGTGAATACACAGTGATTGTAGCCAACAAACATGGCTCTGACGATGCCAACATTGAAGTGGTCGTTCTTGGTAAGTAGTGCCTTGATAATGCTTGGCATAAAGTTTTGATTTTTTGCATGAAGGCTTGGGAAGTTTGGAATTACACAAAGATTTATAAGATATAGACAAGCCATTCATGATATATATAATTCATAATTATTAAGGACTATAAAAGTATTATAAAACATTGAATGGTCTAACCATTGAAAATATTCCTTTACCTTTGTTTTTTTTTCCAGGTCCACCTACTAAGCCAAATGGACCTTTGATTGTGGATAATGTAACCAAGGATACTGCTACCCTGAGCTGGAAGGAGCCCACAGACACCGGTGGCAACCCCATCAGGTTTGTTTAACAGGGAACTGCACTAAGTACACTAAACTTTGGTAGTTCAAACATCATGGATAAGTCAAAGTGATTTTGGATACCAACAACCATTGCATATTGTATTTTTACCTCAATATCTCAAACACTTGGATATTTCAATGTTTTTTCTCAGATTTGCCTAGTATATAAAATACTGCAGCTAAGAAAGGGAAAAAGCATTCAAATTGCTACAGATAAATTTTTTTGCCAGAAGAATGAATTAAAAACTTAATTTTGTTGAATGAAAAATATTGCTTAATAAAATTGCAGTGGCTACCGAGTGGAGAAGAAAGACACACAGAAAGGAAGATGGGAACCAGTTAAGGATAATATCAGTGGAAGTCCGTTTACCGTCCCCAAACTCACAGAAGGACACGACTATCACTTCAGAGTGGCCGCCGTGAACGAGAATGGAGAATCTGATTTCTTGGAAACAGATTTTGCTATCACTGCCAAAAATCCATTTGGTAATATTGTAGACAAGCTTGTTTTGTTGTGTAATTTAAGAAAAATTGTTTTTAAAAAATAATGTACTTGTATTCAGATTGAAGTAAGCATTGAAACTTTAAAGAGGTTGCTGACTTTGATGCACACTCTGAAATCTTTATAAGTATAGATTCAGAATAAGTCAGAAAGTGAGGCAGAAAATTTTATCCAGATTTCAAGGAAGCTGCAGATAAAACAGAATTTGGAAATACAGTATAATTTGTCCAAACCGGCTATCGGTGGTTCCATAAAATTTGGCCGGTTTAGACAGAATCCGGAGTGCAGGAAAAATGCAGGAAAATATCAATTTTGAAAATTTTGTTGTTTATTTACAAGTACATCATATACATATTATAAATATAATTAAATGATAAAATCAATCAATATTTTGGAGTCTAGAAATTATAAAATATTCTCACATGACTTACTGTATTTCCTTATTTATTCACGAAGTTTAAGAGTCGGGTGAAATGTTACCTAAGTCAAAATCTACAGGCACGCATAATGTAGGCCTACTATATATCATGCGGACCGGACTTCGCTTGTCAAACAGCTCATTCAATGTATAAACAGTAATGCACAATTATTTACGATGTGCTAATTATTGGATTGAACTTTTAATTTTTATGTAAAAAATTACGTCTTCCCCCACAGTGTTATGGCGCCATTTTGAAATGCGTTCGATTTTCGATCCCGATTTGTATTTTGATTTGTAAATCGCGTACATATATTTTTTGTGTTTATGTTATAATGTAGTAAAAGGAGTTAAAACGAGTTATTTTTTTTTAAATTGTAATTTAATCTTATACTATTTTTTCAAGTGGGCTGTGTCACCACCGCATTTCACTGAGTTTGTCTCATGGCACTAATTATGCTACTGTAAACACGGATTATCACATCCACCACGAAAGGTGTTAATTGCTTTGAAGTAACTCAGGTGTGGCCGGATTAGAAGGAATGATTACCGCTAATTATGAGCAGTTGGGGCCAGTATGGCCGTTGGCAGGACAGAATAGACAGTATCCGGATTACACACTAATGAATTTGTTAAAGAAGTGCATGGGACTAAAATTTATAGACGGAATGGACAAAAATCCGGAGTACTCAGAGTCCGGATTGGACAAATTTTACTGTATTGACTATCAGTGATATTTGTCTTTTATACTCTCAGATGAGCCCTTCCCTCCAAGCCAGCCTAAGTGTATTGAACAGGACAAGGACCACATCGTCATCGCCTGGGAACCTCCAGAGAATGACGGAGGAAATCCTGTCAAGGGCTACATAGTGGAGAGAAAGGAACCCAGGTCCAACAGGTGGACCCCAATCAACAGAGGACTTGTTCCTGTAAATAAATATAGCATAAAATACTGAATGCTAATTCTAAAGCTATTCTGAATTTTCCTTATGTTTTTTTTATATGTGATTAAACATTAGTCATTTTTTCTTACTTTTTCCTTTTGAAAATAATATATGAGAACAGTAAAACTTGTAAGAAAAGGCATGATCTTTCTGTTCTATTTGACATTGTCATTGAATATTATAATTGAAATATGTTTGATAATTGAACCAGGACTGTGAGTTTGAAGATGAGAAGGTGACAGAAGGGAAGGAATATGAGTACAGAATTCTGGCTGTTAACGATGCTGGTAACTCAGAACCCAGTGTACCCTGTAAACCAATCACTGCCAAGCCTACTAAAGGTTAGCTTATATTTTTTTTTTAACAAATAATTGCAATTTTTAACCTTAATATTAAAAATTCTATAAAAAAATTTGCTGTTGAAAATTGTTAACATGTAACTTTGACTTGTCGCACAGAGCCTCCTAAGGTTAACCTGGATGCCTTGTTTGGAGCTAAGGAGATCCGAGTTAAGGCTGGAGAGCCCCTGACTATCCCTATAGGAATCTCTGGAGCCCCTACACCCACCTGTACCTGGAACAAGAATGGAGGTCCAGTGGACAATAGGGTCAGTACTCCGTAATATTTACAGAAGGATTAAAAAGTCCTCCACAGTAATATGTAATAGAGGAAGTCCATCACAATTATTTGCAATAGATGAAAAGTCCAATACAGTACTATGCATTGGATTTGCAGCTTTACACAACTGAGATGTTTTGATATTGTATTTGTGTTGTTTAATTTATTGATTCGGTATTTTTTTTTTTTCAGGCCCAATGCACTAGCAATGAAGAGGAGGCTAAACTTCACATTCCAAAATGCGAGAGGAAGGATACTGGCAAATACACCATCACTGTTTCCAACCAGTATGGTACTCAGTCAGCTGATATCCCTGTAGTGGTCCTAGGTATGTATATACTCAATATCATCTGTAGACTTTTACTCTTGGAAAAACTTGATAGAAACCAGATTACCATATTAGATGCTTTAATTTTCTTAAATGTTTTGATTACTATTTCCCTCATTTTCTTATTAATTGATGATTGATTGATATAAATAATTTTGTATTCCCTATTTCTATACATCACTTTATTATCATTTAATGCATTTCTATCTCTCTGTCTGACAGATAAGCCTGGTGCTCCAGAGGGACCCCTCGAGGTCTTTGACTTGATGGCTGATTCCTGTAAACTCTCCTGGAAACCACCTAATGACAATGGAGGAGCTGAAATCACAGGTAATAGAGATTTATATCTTTGCCAAATTGCCAATGCATGTCTCTAGAAAGCATTCACAATTAGAGGAATATGATTTTTTAGGAAGTCCAGTGATCACTTATACTACAGTGCTGAAGGTTTTGTGCATAAATTCTGTGATAAAATTTAAGTTCATTTTTATATATTTAAGTTTTGAAAAAGATGAAGAAAATATAATGTGTGTTTAAACTTTTGTGTATACAGGCTATGTTGTTGAGAAACAAGAAGAAGGTTCGCAAACCTGGGAGAAGGTGACAGGGCTGGGATCAGGAACCACTATGCCAGTCAAGGGCCTGAAGGAGGGCAAAAAATACAAGTTCCGGGTCAAGGCTGAAAACATCTACGGAGCTGGAGAACCCTTAGAAACACACAGACCTATCACTGCCAAGAATCCTTTTGGTCAGTAACTACATGTGTATCAGTGGACGTTAATTTAAAAAGCAGAATACAGTGAAAAATCTTTTTACTTTGAAAGTAAGAATTTTAATTTGCTGTGATATGATTTTTGAATTTTTTTTTCCAGACACTCCTGATGCTCCTAAGAATCTCCAGATTCCTAAATATGATAAGAGATCATGTGATCTGACATGGGACAAACCCGATTCTGATGGAGGAAATCCAATCTCTGGTAAAGAATATTCATAATAACCAATTATTCTTGTATTTCAAGTCATAAAAAAGTACCTCAGATTACTGTAGACGTACTTTTTTCGAGGGGGTCATAATTCCACAGAATTTATAATTCTTTTCAGTCCACTGGTAGAAAATTACGCAGATATCTTAAGACTCTCTTTATATACAATATATTTGCATTTAGTTCGATTGTACAAATTTCTGCGGAAAATTTGTGTCCGTGTACATAGCCTAAATGAATACCACGCAGAAAAAAATACTTCTACAGTAATTTGAATGTTTCTTTTTCCACTTTTGATCCTTTCCCTACATTTGTAAAATTTTCCAATGCAGGATATGTTATTGAGAAGAGAAGCAGGGGAGGTGACTGGGTGCCAGTTAACAACTTCCCAGTCAAGGACAATAAGTTCACAGTCATGGGTCTCCAGGAGGGAACTGTTGTAGAGTTCAGAGTGGCAGCAGTTAATGATGGAGGACCAGGAAAATTCAGCAAGGCGACGCCCCCTCATCAAGTCAGGGACCAAGTCTGTAAGTACAGATCTGACTAAGAGTTTATTGTATTTAAGGAAAAGAGGTCTGTGAGTAGAAATTCAACAGAGTTTAAATTTGGTAAGGTGACCTCTCTCATATCAATAAGGGGGCCAAGTCTTTTAAATTGAATATAAATCCTCGTTGAATGTGAACTATTGAGTCAGGATTGAAAACAGTATGGATGCTGCATTTATTCACAAAAACAAGAGCATGCTTTTCTGATTGCATGTTGTGGAGGACCTTTTTGTTATTGTACAAAATTAGCCAAATAAACTTGACATATACTCTTTCATAGATAAGATATATTTACATATAGTAAAAAAAAATGGCAATATTTTTAGTCCCTTCTGGAGCCCCAGGACAACCCAATATCGACAAGATCACCAAGGACTCTGTAGACCTTTCATGGATTAAACCAGCTAAAGATGGCGGCAAGAAACCATCCTCTTACATCATTCAGAAGAAATCAAAGGGAGGCGACTGGGAGGACTGTAAAGAGGTGCCGGGTAATGAGACGAAGTGTACAGTGCCTAATCTGAAGGAGAAGGACGAGGTCCAGTTCCGTGTGATTGCGGTCAACGAAGCCGGTCAAGGCGAGCCCAGCAAACCTACCAGCATGATCACTGTAGAACAACAACCAGGTCAGTATTACTGATGTACAAGTTAACTTTGTTTTGCACAAGTGATCTGGTCATTTTTTAGCTTATTTGTAATGGATATGTTAGGTTAACTGTATATTAGTACACTTACTGGGCATATCTATAATGCATGTATTTAATAAGTGCCTCCTTACCAGCGAACAAAAAAATGTACTGTACTTTCTTACCATTGAGAACAACAGCAATCAAGTTTTTCAGCCAAAGTAGGTTCAGTGGTTGTTATTCATGTTGATAATGGTCCTTATATAAAATTTTCTCCTATTTAACAGAGAGGCCAAATTTGAGCATGGCTGGAGTAAAGGACATCAATGTAAAGGCTGGACAGCACTTCCAGATTGAGGTCCCCTACACAGGATTCCCCAAACCCAAGGCTGTCTGGATGAATGGAACCAAAGAGATCGAGGATGACATGCGTGTACATCTGAAAGTGGCTGCTGATCACGTCACCCTCACTAACACCAAGGCTGAGAGAGGTGATGCGGGTAGATACAGACTGACACTGAAAAATCCATCAGGGCAGGACTCAGGCTCACTCAATGTCAATGTTATAGGTAATTTATTTAGTCTAACGTGGTTATAAAAGAAAGGTTTAAACAATGTTTCAGACAGAAACCTTTGAAAATTTCTATCGATGAGTGGAAGTTTTAGCCAGATGCATATTTAGCAATTTACCAATAAAAATTCATTGTTATGTATTTTTAGCGAGAAGTAATTTAAACAATTTTATAAAGTCAAGAGAGAAAGCTATAACAACCAATACAGAATGAAATTGTTAGCAATATTCAATTTTAGCCAACTTGAAACCCTTGGGAATTGAAACCTCCCAAAAAAAAATTCCACTCTTCGTATATTATACATATATAATAATTTGACATATAGTATAATCAAGTATATAATAGTTTTTTAAATTTTGTATCTTTTTGTTATTTTTCAGACCGGCCAGCAGCCCCTAAGGGACCCCTGACAGCTGTGGATATAATGGGAGAGGAGATGACTCTTCAATGGAATGCCCCAGAGGATGACGGTGGAGAAAAGATTAACAATTACATTCTGGAGAAACGCAAGGCTGGCAGCAAGAAATGGCAGAAGGTTTCCAGCTTCATAAACACCCCTGAGTGTATTGTCAGAAATCTGGAACCTGGTACTGAGTACGAGTTCAGAGTAATGGCAGAAAACAAGCTCGGAGTCAGTGATGCTTTAGAAACATCAGAACCAATTTTGGCTAGATTGCCTTATGGTTAGTAACAGTTTTATAATTTTTGTTTGAATAAAAAAATTCACCTTTTGGCAAAGAATGGTAGTAGCTTTTTCTTGCATTAATAAATTATTTTTTCCTTGGATAGATGCTCCTGGTGCCCCTGGCACTCCTAAATGCTCAGCCTACACCCCTGACTCTATCACCCTGGAATGGACCCCACCCCTGAAGGATGGAGGGAACCCCATCAAAGGATACCAGGTGGAAAAGAGGGAAGTCGGGGACAGAAAGTGGACCAAGTAAGGCTCTCTTTTATATATTTTATTGTATTTTATAGTTTTTAGGTTTTATTTTATGTTCATATGTTCAATTTTTTTTAAGCAAAATATAATATACAATTTAATATAAACCTAAATTACAATATATGTAATGAATATATATTTTTTAGAAAATAGTCAAAGGTATACATTTATTACTTTGCTATTGCAGAGCAAACTTTGCTGATATTTTGGACAATGAATTCACTGTGAAGGGTCTGACCGAGGGTAAAGAATACGAGTTCCGTGTGGCGGCCATTAATAATGCTGGCATAGGAGACTTTGCTGAAACATCAGAAGCTATCAAGGCTCAGCAGCCTCCAGGTTAGTGTGATTAGGTTTACCATAATCTCTCTGTTCCCAGGAATGGGGGAATCCATTAGCTTGGTGTTTTTTCAAAGAAGCTTCAAGCATTTATAGCACCTCCATCTTTTCATGCCATTTCCTGTCTGTCCAAATCTCTTGTTATTAGAACTTGTCTACATTTATTTCACTTAATTTTAAGTAGTTCCTTGAAAATTTAAATGAAATTTGTCTTTTTATTCAGTTGCACCAAAAGTCAGTCCAAACTTCCTTCCAAAGGATATTACAGTCAAGAGAGGAGAAGAGTTTAAGATTGTTATTCCTTATGATGGCAATCCTATTCCTAAAGCAGACTGGTCTGTGGTAAGTTCTTTTTTAACAGAAAAAGATTTTTTTTTGTTTCCATGCATGTTCAATTTCTTTGCACACAATTTGAATAAGTCTATATACCAGATCATAACTGTAATTTTTGTTAACTTCATTTTTTTAGGCTGGTAAACCTCTTTCCCAAGGTGGTCGTGTGAGTTTTGAGAACACCCCTACAGAAATCAAGTTGTTCAATAAAGCAGCTGAGAAAACAGACTCAGGAAAATATAGCGTCCTCTTGTCAACTGACAAGGGCAGCGATTCTGCCTCCATCAACGTCAACGTCGTTGGTAAGTAAAATTCCATTTTCTGTATATACCTTTATCATGCCAAGCAATAGATACAATCTTATGTATGGCTTGCACTCTCAAGTTTTAAAGAATCTAGTAATATCTTATGTACCTTCTCATAATATGGCTATATCTAAAGAAATAAAATTGCTGGAATAGCTATTCTTATCAAATTTCGGTATAATTGTGTAATATATGCCCCCCGCTGTTACAGATTCGCCCACTAAACCTGAGGGACCACTGGAGGTAGGAAGCATCACCCCTGACTCCTGTGTCCTCACCTGGAATGCTCCTAAAGTAAGTCTGGCTAACTGTACCACTGCATCTTTATAAGGTGTACTTGTACATGTGTATCATTACATTTAAAAGGTACATGTAAATACTCAAACATTGAAGAGAACTTGCTTTGGGGCAAATTCAAACACGTGATTTTGTACTAGGAAAAAAAATTTTACTACCTTAAAATTTAAAACCAAGAAATTATAATTATGAATGAAATAGTTTAGACGGCTTTCAATTTGTTAGTGAATGTTTATGAAATTGTCTGTTTCATTACAGGATGATGGTGGAAGTCCGATTTCCAACTATGTTGTTGAGAAGATGGATCTTGCCACTGGAAAGTGGGAACCCGTCAGTAAATTTGTGCGGGGTACTAACTATGAAGTGATGGGACTGACTGAGGGGCACGAGTACAAGTTTAGGGTGTCAGCTGAGAACCAGTTTGGCGTCAGTGAACCACTGGAGACTTCTCTTCCTATCACAGCCCAACATCCATACAGTATGTTCAATAACCTTTTATCATTTCTATAGCTTTAGCATTGTTGATTGAAATATTAGTGTAATTTCAAATGTTCAGCTGTAGTATGGCAAAAATTTCTGGAGATAAAGCGTTCATTTTTTTAATTTATCAATTTCATTTTGAAATTAAGATCTTGCTTGAATATCAAGAGGTTTCTAAAAGTTTGAGCATTTTTTTTTTCTAAATTGAACTTAAAAAGTAATTTTTTTTGCATTTGATGAGTGGGGGTTGTAAAATTTTACCATACATTTTCTTCAGCTCGCCCTGATCCTCCCGGACACGCCAGTATTGTAGACGTGGATGACGGTTCCGTTACTCTGTCTTGGACCAAACCAAGAAATGATGGTGGAAAGAAGATCATAGGATATGTTGTGGAATACAAAGACCCCACCACTGGTCGCTGGAAGGAGGCTAATGATTACCCAGTTGATGAATGTGTTTATCAAGGTGAGCAGAGATTTACAAGATATTTGATGTGGGCTTCTATTTTTGTGACTTCCAAGGAAATGTTAGGGGTACTTATTTGTGGCTAGCATATTTATAAAGGATGAAACCTGAAATAGAATGTATTTAATTTTTTTTAATTTGTACTATTGAAAGTTGTATGAGAAGTTTTTTCTGTAATAGTTAAGGGATTGAAGAAGGACAAGGAATATGATTTCCGCATCAGAGCAAAGAACATCGCAGGCCTCAGCGAGCCTAGTGAAATGGTCGGTCCTGTTACTCCTAAGCCGAAATACAGTAAGTATATACAGAAAAATATTCACATAGTCACATGTATTTGAAAAAAAAAATGGCCGAATTGTTATGAAGTTATCTTTAATGCTTATTTAATTTTTTGAAATTTTATTTCAGCCAAGGCTTCACCACCTGGTATACCTGAGGCCGTCAACACAGGCAAAACATATGTTGATCTGAAATGGGAGCCACCTAGAAACGATGGTGGAGCTAAAATTACAGGTATGTGTACAAGTTTTTAAAGGAGAAGCAAAACTTATGGACATTGTCTTTGAAAAATACTAGTAACCATTGATAATATTATATAAATGATCTTTGTAGGCTATCTTGTGGAGAAGAGGCCTAAGGGAGCTGAGATGTGGTCTAAATGTAATGACTATCCCTGCGCTGACCCTGCCTTTACCGTCGCCAACCTTCCCGAGGACTCAGAGTGGGAGTTCAGAGTTATGGCTGTCAATGCTGCAGGGAACAGCGAGCCCAGTCTGTGCTCACCAGCTTACAAGATCAAGGAAAAGATTGGTATGTTGTCAATTCTTGTCTCTGTATATATATATAACATACAATGTTAAAGTACATACAGTATATCTGAAAATAAAATTGGTGCTTAAATTAAATTATGTGTTGTTTTTTTTTCAGAATGGTTAATATTTTATTTTCTTTGATGTTGCTTTGCTATTGTTAGTTTTTGATTTCAGTTATGTGCTTTACACTTAATAGTCATGAATAGTTTGAAATACACTTGTATTATTCTTTTTTTTTTGTAGTTGGATCAGCCCCAGAGTTTATCAAGAAGCCTGCAGACAGCAAGGCACCTCTGGGAGGGGAAATTTCCTTCACAGCGGAGGTTCATGGCAAACCTTTCCCCACTTGTCAGTGGTAAGCAGAGTATATTTTTTTCCTTTTAGGATGCCAATTGAAGCAAAAACATGATTAAATCCTTAAAATAAAAATGTAACCAATAGCTTTCTCTTATGGGAGAACATGAGTTACTTAGACTTTAAAGGCCTACATATTAAGTTTAATACATCCTTGCTGAATTAATATTTCAGGTACAAGAATGGCATTCCAGTGGGTACTGGTGGTGGCCGTATGAGACTGATTAAGGAGGATGACGTCTTTATTTTCGTTATTAATGAAATTTATGATAAAGACGAAGGAGAATTTACCTGTGAAATTTCAAATCCACTTGGAACAGAAAAAGCTACATGTCGTTTAGAACTTCAAAGTAAGTCAATTTGCATAAATCAAATGGATTGAAAAGTAAAGGAGATTAAAAGTTATCTTGTAGAATTACAAAAAATTGTGTTTTTTTAACTCGCATGTACGATTAATATCTAAATTATAAATATCGCAATTTGTTAATTATCAGTGATTTATAAAAATACCTTTTCCAGATCCACCCAAATTTGACAGAGACATCAAAGACCAGAATGTAGAGGTGGGAGAACAGCTCAAGATTAAGATTCCTTATTCAGGAACCGGACCATTTGACATCAAACTCAAGAAAGATAACCGTGAAGTCAAAGAAAGTGACAAAGTCAAGATCACTCCATTTGATGATTACATAATCCTAATAATCAAAGGTAATTCATTTTAGTATCAGTCATTAGATTTTCAGTTTTTGCCATTTTCATGAAAAGTCTTGCAGAAAAATTTGTTAACTTGTACACTGTAAAAGTCTGCACTTTATTTTATTCACCTGTGCAAAATGATAAACATTCCTTCAGTTTTAGTTAAATTCAAAGTAACATGGTTTCTTGATTTCAGATTGTACTCGAGATGACACAGGTAGATATCAGCTGGAGGCTAGCAATCCCTCTGGAAGTGCTTCCATTGGGTTTGGACTCAGTGTTGTCAGTAAGTCACTGTTACCCACTTACTGTTATAGTAGCACATTTTGACATTCTGAATATTTGTTAGTTCTTGTTTCATTTAAAGTGAAATAAAGCTGCCAAAACTTCATACCAATACACATTTGTAAATGTATTGCTTATCTTTGTACAGGTCCTCCTTCTTCCCCCACCGGACCGTTAGAAGTCAGTGACATTACAAAGAATGCCTGCCGATTGTCTTGGAAACCACCCAAGGAGACGGGCGGTGCCAAGATAACTGGTTATGTTGTGGAACGTCAGGAGGTGGGCAAACCTTACTGGGTGACTGTCTCCTCCCACTGCAGGGTGAGTACAGGACAAATACTGCTGTAAACTGTAATTTTTCACGACATATTATTTTTGCGCAATAGTTACTGGGTAGCTGGTTATAAATGGACGACAATATTTGCAATCAAGCCTTTTTGGTTATTGCTGTATATAATCACAGAAGACTATTATACAGGACTGGTTCACAGCAAAAAATATTTGTGATGACACAGTGCTCTCGTGTAATTACGTGAAGTTAAAGTTCTCGCAATCGAAAAGTGATTTACAGTACATGTTATAAAGCATTGATTGTTCAATTTGCCTGTTATTCTGTATTATAACATAAAGGTTTTTATATCAATAATTTGTGTATTTGTGTTTGACAGGACACTCACCAAGATATTCAGGGCCTGTTTGAGAATGGGAAATACTTGTTCAGAGTCATGGCTGTGAACGAACATGGACAATCAGAACCACTGCAAGCCGAGAATCCCATCATAGCTAAAATGCCATTCGGTGAGTGTTACTTATAAAATAAACTTTACCTGTACTGAACAACTTCACAATGTAACCTGATTTATTTATTTCATTAATTATTTTTTTTTGTGGATATTTTTAGATGCACCTGACACCCCTGGCACCCCTGAGGTCACAGAGGTGGGTGGAGATTTCGTCAGCCTCAAATGGGACAAACCCAAGTCTGATGGAGGAGGAAGGATCAAGTCTTACTGGGTGGACAAACGTGAGCACGGAACTGAGAACTGGCACCGCGTCAATCTGACCCCCTGTCTGACAAACATGATCAATATTCCAAACCTTATTGAGGATAAACGATATGAGTTCAGAGTGTTTGCTGAGAATGAGGCAGGAATGAGTAAACCATCCCTTGCATCCACCAGTGTCAAGATCAAGGATCCTAATGGTAACTTTACTTATACGGTTTTTAAAAGTAGTATTTTAGATACATGATAGATTGAAGCAATAAAATAAACTTTGTAGCTTATAGGTTAATATTCTAGAATTTCAATTTTCCCATGAAATGATATTTTTCCTTAGCAATTTTAATGGATTGAACTACCTTGCAACACCTTACAGAATAATAGAACGTGGTAATTAGTGAAATGATAAAGTTAAAGTTGTTTCATGAAATACATGTACCTGTATCTTTTGCAGCTGCTGTTGCTCCTGAGATTGTACAAGGTCTTAGAAACATTCAGACAGTGGCTGGCAAAAATGCCACCTTTGAGCTGGAAGTCTCTGGCAATCCGAAACCAGAGGTTCAATGGTGAGTCATATACAGTAAATCCTTATTATTCCAAATTTTTTCGGATCAATCTTATCACCTTGTGGAAAATTGAAGAGCACAGAAATTTAAAGCTAGTACAAAATAAAAGTTCTAGTTACTTATCTCTTTAAAATGTGAAAATATTTTCCCTAAAAAATGACTGATGCTCTTACTATAGGTAGCCTTTTACAATTCCTTTTTATTATTATCAGGTACAAAGGATCGAGAGAAATCTTTGATGACAGGAAGTTTGAGATCATTGAAGAAGGAAATCTCCACATATTGTCTATCAAGGATGTATATGGAGAAGATGCTGATGAGTATTCTGCTAGAGTCTTCAACAAAGGTGGATCCAAGGTTTCCAGGGCCGATCTGAGCATCAGAGGTAAATTATTTCGCTCTTGTAGCTTGCAAAATTTGATTTACTATATAGACTCATTATTGGAATGGTTTGCAAAGATGAAATATCTTCTTTCATTTGTTATTACTTTTTTTTACAGCTCCACCCAAAATTAATGTACCATCCAGATTCAAGGACGTCAGCACATTTGAGAAGGGAGAGCCAGTTGTCATCAAGATACCATTCACAGGTAACCCTAAACCCACTGTAAAGTGGGTCAGAGATGGAGAGGAGGTCAAAGGTCGTAACTACGTTCAGGAAGTGACCGACCGCCATGCCATACTGACCATCAAGGAGGCTAATAAGGACAACGATGGTCCTTACAGACTGACCTTGGAGAATGAACTTGGAACTGACACAGCTGTTATCAAGATCCAGGTCAACGGTGAGTTTGATATAATTGTAAAATAGGGGATACTGTGGAATCATTTTAATTCATAAGGGGGTCATTGTTCATGGAACACCAACATTTAACTGGCTCATGGAGGTGTTATATCTTTGGCACTGCTTTCATAAAGGATTTACACATGTAGTTAGATGTCAAACATATATTAAAAAATATTGTTTGTGATGTAAATTTGTGGTATGCAAACCTACAAAGTCCACAAACACATACCCTTGTTTACTTGACACCCCTGGTATTGATACAGTGTGTTGTTTATTATTTTGCATTGGTAGATACTGTAACTTTAAAATATCTAAGTGTTATTTTGTGGTATTTCAGATCGTCCTGACCCACCACGATTCCCTGTGGTGGAGAACATCAGAAGCGACTCTGTGGTTCTGTCCTATAAGGCACCACTGAATGATGGTGGTAGCTTTATCACTGGTTATGACATTGAAAAATGTGAACCACCAGGAACTAACTGGGTCAGAGTGGCTAACACAAGGTATGAACAATGGGAATTCTATTTTTTTTTCTACATAAATAGTAGAATTTTAAATGTTTTTTAATGTTATTAAAAAAAATTTGAACAGTCATCCCAGTCTTTTAAAAAAATATTTTATTTCTAGAAGACAATTATGTAATGACAGTATTGTATTTTTTTTAAATACACTGTAAATAAACCAAAAAACCATTTATCCTTGATAAACATTGAACTGAATAAAAAATTATTTCTGTAATATTGCATCAGTGATGTTAACAGTGATTTACTAAATCATTAATAATATGTATTTATTTTGTATTTGTAGGATGACCTTCCACAACATTCAGGGTCTGTCAGCTGGTAAGGAATACCAATTCCGAGTCATCGCTGAGAATTTCTACGGCAAGAGTGACCCGTGTGAGCCCACATCTACCATCAAAACAGAGGACTCAGAAGACAAGAAGAGGAAGAAGCACGAAGGTAGGGAACCTTTTATTTACTTCCTCTGTTTAGGTTTATAAATGTTTGAATTGTATACCTGTACAGTAGTATTAAAACTTTGATTTTTTTCTGCTTTTATAGATGAGATGGGAAGAAAAGTCAGAGGAAAATATGATGGTCCCAAGATTAATGACTATGACAAGTTCTGTAAGTATGAAGAGCATATTTACAAAAAATTAAGGACATCTGTGTTGCCCAATTCAATTTATAGGTTTTTCTAAATATTGTACATTAAAAAAATTGATATCCATATAGAAAAATAAAAATCCTTGTGTAGGTATTTTACATTGTCATGTCTTACAGATGAGGACTTGGCAGGTAAAAAATATGTACCTGTCCAGCCAGTCCAGTCTTTTGTTTAAAAGCATTTTAAAGATATAGCAAGTTTATTATGATCGGGCTTCTCTGCTGCATGCATGCATTTTCAAAAATGGTTCTCACTTTGTTTTCCAGTGGAGCTTTTGGAGTCGTCCATCGCTGTGTGGAGAAGGCCACTGGCCGAGTGTTTGTGGCTAAATTTATCAACACCCCCTACCCACTGGACAAGGCCACAGTCAAAAACGAAATCAACATCATGAACCAGCTTCATCATCCTAAACTCCTCCAACTCAAAGATGCATTTGATGATCGTCATGAAATGATCTTAATCTTAGAATTGTAAGTTATATGTAGAGAGTCAAGAAATAGGCACATTGTACAAATGATTGATGAAAGATGTGCTCTGATGATTAAAAATAATAGTGGTGATCCATTTCTTAGCAAGAAAAAGCGTTCAGAAAAATCAATTTTAAATGTGCTCTAGCAGTGTGCTTTTAAATGTTGTATCAATTTAACCATATTAGTTACTTATTTTGTGAATTGGGAGTGTACAGTTGTGTTTGTCTGTTTATAGCCTGTCTGGAGGAGAGCTGTTTGACAGAATCGCTGCTGAGGATTACAAAATGACGGAGGCTGAGGTCATTAACTACATGAGACAGGTCTGTGAGGGACTCAAACACATGCACGAGAACAGCATCGTCCATCTCGATGTCAAGGTCAGTTGTTACATGATTCTAAATGTTGGATCTTTATGGTAGAAATATCTAAATAAAAGTATGAAATTCATGTTGACAATTAAATGTAGAGATACAGTCATAAGTAAGTGGAAAGAGTTCTGCAGATTAGTGGCAGAATAAAATGATGAACCATATTTAAATAAAAAATGAATAGATACTATCTTAATTTAATATTATTTGGGGATAAAATTGTGTAATTTATATTAAAAAATATTCCATATTGACAAAATCTATTTTTACTTTTATGTAGCCTGAAAATGTGATGTGTGAAACCAAGAAATCCACCAATGTGAAAATGATTGACTTTGGCCTGGCCACCAAACTGAATCCAGACGAGATTGTTAAGGTGACCACTGCCACCGCAGAGTTTGCTGCCCCTGAGATTGTCGACTCCGAACCCATTGGTTTCTATACAGATATGTGGGCTGTCGGAGTGCTGGCTTATGTACTGTGAGTATATCTGAAGTGTAGATATTGATCTTTTTGAGACATTTTACTGGTCTTGCACCAGAATTATGCAAAATATCAAAATTGGATTAGAGACGTTTTTTTAATGCCCCCATTCGAAGAAGGGAGGGCATATTGCTTTGAACTGCTGTCTGTCGGTCGGTGTGTAGGTCCACTTAGTTTCCGTTCATTTTCTTCGCAACCGTTGCACATACTGAAATGAAATTTGGTATACAGATATATCACATGAATATTTAGGTCAAGTTCTGTTTTGGGTACGATCGCACCATTTTTGACAGAGTTATGCTCCTTGGACTTACAAAAATTTCAATTATTTGCAGTTTCCGTTCATTTTCTTTGCAACCATTGCACTTACTGAAATGAAATTTAGGGTACATATTTATCGGAGAAATATCTAGGTTAAGTTCTGTTTTGGATACGATCGCACCATTTTTTACAGAGTTATGCCCCTTGGACTTAGAAAAATTCCAAATATTTGCAGTTTCCGTTCATTTTCTTCACAATTGTTGCACATACTGATTTGAAATATTGTATACAGATTTATCAGATGAATGTCTAGGTCAATTTCTGTTTTGGGTACGATTGCACCATTTTTGACAGAGTTATGCCCATTAGACTTTAAAAAAATTCCAATTATTTGCCATTTCCTTAAATTTTCTTTGCAGAGGTTGCACATACTAAGATAAAATTTGGTATATATAGATTTATCAGATAAATATCTTGGTCAAGTTCTGTTTTGGGTACAATCACACCATTTTTGACAGAGTTATGCCCTTTTGGACTTAGAAAAATTCCAATTGGGGGGGAGGGGGGCATAAGTGTTTTACAAACATCTCTTGTTTTTTATACAAGTTGGCTTATTAAATGTTGTTTTTTCTTTATTTTAAAGTTATCATTATCATTTAAAAGTTGTATTTTTCTGTGTAGGTTGAGTGGATTATCTCCCTTTGCTGGTGAGGATGACCTAGAAACCCTACAGAATGTAGGTCGGTGTGACTGGGAGTTTGCTGAGGAGGCCTTCTCTCAGGTCTCTCCCGAGGCCAAGGACTTCATCAGGAAACTCCTCATCAGGAGGCCCCAGTAAGTACAGGACCCTAAAATAAAATTGGTTTTCTTACTGAAAGGACGTACACAGAAATGTTACAAAACAATACATGTCTTTCAAAATGTTACAAAGTAGGTTTTCTTTAAAAGATACTGGTAGTTCATTAAGGTTACTAGTAATTTTATACAGAGAAAAAGGTTAAGTTTACTTGCCATTAATGCATGTTTCTTTTTTCAACAGAGAAAGAATGACTGTCCATGATTGCTTAGATCATGCATGGCTGAAGGTAAACTTTTTTTCGTCACTTGTACATTAAATTTGATATTTTCTTGGGAACATTTGATAAATCTTTACTTTAGCAAGCACTAGTTTGTGAAGTACATATATTAAATTACACAATATACTAATTTTTCTGGTACTTAATTTCCATGTAATGATTTTTGTCAGGGTGATCTCAGTAGTAGGACGACCAGAATTCCATCCAGTCGTTACGACGCAATCAGAGCCAGGATCAAGGAACGATATGTAAGTCAACTGATTGCAATTACAAATTTCTCTTGAAAAACATACAAAAAACTGACCCTTAGGCCTAGAAAAAAAATATGTTTGTTTCCGCTTTCAGGCTGAAAAAATATAGGGTAGGTAGGTAGGCAATTTTTTTTTTTGGAAAAAAATTTTTTTGCTTCTTTTATCAAAACGTGTACAGAAGTAACATTAATGACAAAAGAAATGGTGTTTTCAAGCATTACTGTGACTTAACTTATAATAGAAAGGTGACCCAAACTAATCTTTCTCTCTTGAAAAGCTTGCAAAGTTGGAGGCTATAATTCCCTGGTTGAAATCTTGCACATGAAAAACATAAAAAAAATTTGACCCTTTTATTGTGTAAGAAACAAACATATTTTTTTTTGCAGTATCAGAGAGATTGCTTGCAGTGATGGAAGGTTTTATAGCAGATAAAACTTGATTGGTTTTATTTTGTGTACAGGCTGACTGGCCACAACCTATGCCAGCTATTGGACGCTTGGCCAACTTCAGCTCCCTCAGGAAACATCGTCCCAAGGAATACAACATCTACGATGCCTACTTTGGTAATTTTTTTTCCCACTACATGTATTACTGAGAAAAATATAAAACATTTATATAGACACATTTGCATCCAATTTAAGTGACAGGGGAGATAATGATCTGGAATTTAATAACTGACAATGTTTTATTATACAGATCGTAAGGAAGCTACTCCAAGGTTCATCAGGCGTCCCAGAAATGTTATTGTCGGAGAAGGCAACATTGCTAAATTTGACTGCAGAATTATGGCTGCTTCTGCACCCATTGTCACTTGGTAAGTCCTAAATCAAACAAAAATAATGCATGTAATTGTATCAGTATACTGCATTGGTAAATTAAAGAGTACTTTTTTTCAATTATTGATTTCTTGGACTTTTTACAGGCATTTTGATGGAGGTGCTCTTTCCCAGAGTGTGAAGCACATGCAGAAATACTCCGGCACTGAGTACGAATTAAAGGTCAGTCGATGCAAGAAGGAGGATGCTGGAACTTACACTGTTATAGCCGAGAACTCATTTGGAAAACGTGAAGAGAGGGCATCACTCAAAGTAGAACGTAAGTCTGTCTTCAGTGGTCATATTGTTTACAGTTGATATATACTTGATTTATGTGACAATTCAAAATTTTCATAAAGGTGATAACATTGTTATTGGTGCTCTTTTCATCTCATTACATTAATATCCAATTTGCTATTGTTTGATAAATCAGGTAAATGTAATCTTGAATATGAATGATGTTTGTTGCTTTTCATTTCAAAGATATGTATCTTTAATAGATTAATATCGCTATTTATTTGTTTAAATTTCAGCTGCTCCTAAGAGAGAGATTCCACTCAGCAGGGATACCACACCAATGCGCAGGTACCACAACATATTTCTTTTCACCATTCATTTACTATCCTATATAAACTGTATTACACTTTATAGATCTATAATGTAACAAGCAAAATATCAACAGATAAAAGTTACAAAGAAGAATGGTATTACCTGTGTTTGTTTTATGATTAGATCTAGGCCACCATCCATGGTGAGAGAGATAGAGAAACCCAAAGAGGAGCGTCCTGACTTTAACTTTGGTCTGCGTCCACGTCTTATTCAGGCAGGACAAGAGTTTAAACTGATCTGTTGTGTCCAGTGTACCCCAACACCTAAGGTACAGATTATTTATGATGAATATTGATTTGATTTTAAAGACTTGGAAACATATTAGCAAGCTCATGTTTAATACTCTTAGAGAAGGCACAAAAAAGTTGCTAGTAATTTTTTCTGCCAAATATTTCTAAAGGTAAACTGAGTGTGATGAAATACATTGATGTTAAACACTGGTCAGTTAAATGAGATGAACAAGAGATTACTACTCTATTTCAGTATAAAATATAAACTGATTTAAAAACAAAATTTCTATCAGGTGACCTGGACAAAGGATGGTCGTGACATCACCCACAGTGACCACTACTTGTGTACGTATTCCAGTGGTGTGTGTACAATGGAGGTTCAGTGTGCTCATGTGTCAGACACAGGAACCTACACATGTATCGCTGTCAACGAGCTCGGAACAGAGGAAACATCCAGCTACGTTGTCGTAGAAGGTAAGAATATTCAAAACTTATTTAACAATATTCACTAAAGTCAGATCTCGGAAGGAATTTTGCTTTTGAATTTTAGTGCATTTTCATATGTAAATTTATGAATGTTAATATTTGTAATTTTTGTATGTTGATAAATTTTCTTCAAACAAATTACACAAGACCTAAACATGTACCACACTGAGCAAATATTTAGGCTTGATTTTGTTGTACAGGAACGGACAGGAAAGGTATTAAAAGATGGTTTAGGTTGATTTTAATCAACACAGTAGCTAGTTTGATAGATAGCACAAATAGAAAATTATATATCTATTTACAGTAATTATAGAGGAAAACAACAAAAAATACTTTGTAATAGACAATATTCCACTCCACAATGTCCTCTTACAGTTTCGACAGATAGATGCCTGACAATACTTATAACATATTCTAGTCTTCTAAACATTAGAATGATTACTTAATTTTTTCATATTTGTGCTGTGGAAAATTATAATTTTAGTCTTTGACAAGTAGATTGTAATATCACCCTAGAACATGAAGTACCAAACTAGTATGTGTTATTTGTATGTGTGTGAATTACGTCCTTCACTATTGTGTAATCAGATATAAATTTGAAATTTTATGTTCTATTTTTATCATCAGTTGATTGTATTGTATTGCAAAATAGAACTTTGAAACTAAAATGTAAAAAATTGATCCCCTTCAGACCGAGCTCATGAAGGAGTTGACTTGAGGAAGAGTGCTAAATCTCGCAGTGTACGCCAGACAAAATCTGGTTACAGTAGTCGGTATGAGGATTCCAGCTACAGCGAGTCTTCTTACTCCTCATCCACGAAAACAAGTCGCTCCTCCAGGAAATACACAGAGGAATCCGTCGAGGAAAGCTCTTATTCCTCTAGGCGATCTGACCGCTCAGAGAGGAAAAGTAAGGGAATATTCAATAGTATTTATTTCTTCACTGATATTTTTTACAGCATTGGAAACTTTGCAATTGGTTGGTGAGCTGAAAGCCTTGTCTATTACACATGTATTTCATAAATGCTTTTCTTAAAGCAAGCTTGTACATTGCATGTATTTTATTTATTTTTTAATACATGAAATTTAGTTGGTCCACAATAAAACATTTATAAGAAACTGTTTTCAAAATCTGTGAATACAATGATTGACAATTTTTATAGAGAGACAGGAACCAGAGGAGATAGCCCCCTCCTTCACATCAAACTTGTCCCCAGAAATTCTTAAGGAGGGAGATCGCTTAAAACTGACCTGCTCTGTCACAGGAACCCCAGACCCAGACATTGAGTGGTACTTCAACGGACAGGTATGTCACTTATCAGGGTGAGGTGCTCCTTACAAAAATTCAGGGTTACATTGATGGGGAGGGGGGTTGCATAGATGCTTCAAGATTTTAGACCAAGAAGGAGTGAGCATTTGAAGATTGATACTTGCTGTTTAATTTGCTTCATTTTTTTAGGGGAAAGATACAATTTTTGGCAAGGAAAGATTAGCTCCTCTTGTAAAATTTCTATGAGTCACAGATTTGTGTCTTTTGAAAGGCAGGCAATTTCATGTTTTCAGTCAACCTTTAGAAGTTTACCTTTAAGTGGGAAGTTGATGGTATATCGCAATAAATCTCATGCTTTAATTAATATATTTGTTGCTTTTTTGCAGATGATAAAGAGTGGTGGTTCTATGAAGATCAGGAACATTGCTGGTAGCTGTTCTCTAGAAATTAGTGAAGTCTCAATGGATGACGACGGAACCTACACATGTAAAGCCATCAACTCTGCAGGAGTAGCCTCCACTAAAACTAGTGTACAAGTCACTGGTGAGTCATCCCATTCTGAGCCATTCCTTTCTTCCTTGTTTTCTCTGAAAGCCAGCACAAAAAGCACAAGCATGAAATCACTGAATGTTAAGCCATTGAAAACCATTCCTTTTGACCATTCAAAATTCTACTTGATTACCTGTGATATGTAACAAAATGAAACATGTATATGTAGTTTCTGCAGTTCAAAATATTTGAAACTTTTTAAAGTCAGCATTCAATTGTTCAACATTTTCATAAACATGACAAACTTTTCAGAGACTTTCTTTTTTAGCCAATAAAAATTTTAGCAACTGCAGAAACTCTGTGTGATATGCCTTACCTATGAATTTTTGTTACAGCCAAACCACAGGAGAAATTAGCTGAACCTCCCCGGTTTATTACCCACCCCTTAGGTCTCAGATTAAAAGATGGCGACCCGGCCACATTAGAATGTCAAATTTCAGGTACACATGGATTTAAGAAAATCTTTTTGTGTGAAATTGATGAAGAATATTAAAATGAAATCAAAATTCAACTGTAGCAAAACCAAAAAAAAAAAAAGAAGAAAAATTGAAGAGAATGTTAATATTACACAAATATTAATCAAAATTTATATTTATCATTGAATATCTACCGTAATCATATAAAATTTATTCCTGAATTGTAATAAAGCCTCACCTTTGAAACCCTCTTTTCCTTTCCTGTATGAATTCAAATCTTGACCTCAGTCCCAAGTTTTCCTTTAAAAAAAATCATGAAATTGGAGACCACAATGATAGTAGTCAAAGTTTTCAGAAACTAGATCATATCCAGACCAAAACAAAAATAATTAATGAAGACCAACAGGAAAAGTGGTTTAGCAACGGTGAGGGGAAAATTTATGCAGTAGCATTTGTTATGGTAAGTGTGGCCCTATTTTAGGCTCACCTGAGGTTAAATGGTACAAAGGTCGTGAACAAATCATGGACAGCGAAGACTTCCGCTATGAAAACGACGGCGACACCTACCGACTGGAGATAGCTGAAGTGTTCCCCGAGGATAGTGGAATGTACAAATGTGTGGCTGAAAACGAGGCTGGCACCGCCTCTAGCAGCTTCACTGTTTTCGTAGAAGGTACTTGAGGGGATATTTTTAGGCTTCCACTCACAGAATTCTTTTTTACTGGAGTTACACATGTTCATATATCATTTGTGAATATTTTATTTGGATTATTTATTTGGCACATTATTTAATTTCAACATTTTAATTTAATTATAATACATGTAATTATATATATAGCTGGTATAATGAGAATTGTAATGTTATAAATCCATCTCCCCTTGATAACATCAACTTTGACCTTATTAAATTGACCCTTTTCTTTAACAGGAAAATCAGGTAATATATATAAATGGGTGCTGTGATGTTTTACCAAAGTATATATTCACAATGACCTCTCATCAATTAAAGAGTGATATATTTTATTTTGCCAAAATAAAAAATATTATTTGAAAAGATTTTTTTTTTAAGATGATTCAAAATTTTTTTTCATTGTACATAATTTTCAAAAACATTTTTGATTTAATTATGGAAACAAAATACAAAATGTGATTACAGAGAAGTGTTCTTCATAAAACAATGGCGAAATCTTTTGCCTTTAGCTAACTAGAATTCTTCACTCTTTAAACAATTTGATAATAAAATAATGTTTGTAATGTGAATAAATAAGGATCAAACAATTCTCTTTTCAGGCACGAAAATATTTGAACTGTGAACACATCAGTCTTTCACTGCATTTTATTTAATTTGAGTTTTGATCTAATAAACAATTCATCTATGTTCCTATGTTTACTATATGCCATTATGGAATCATAAGAGGTGTAATCCTGATAAATATTATTCAGTTGTACTTTTTTGCCTATAAAGATCATGACATTGTTTTATAACCCTAGCATTTTAATCATTTGTAGATTCTTATTAAATTGACGCTTTCCAAATAGTTTTTTTTCTTGAGACGTCCAATGTATTTTTTCTTTAATTAGGGAAAATCAGACAACATTTGAACATTACCCCATTGCTCCAAAATATATATAAGCATGGGATCTTTTTGAGCCAGCATCTTCTGCGACACTGGACATGTTTTACCAAAGTATATATTACATCTTAACTCCAAAGCAAAATGCTCTACAACCACTGCATATCTTATGACCCTCAAAAAAGTACACTGACTGTCTATAAGAACTGGAGGATGATTGAAGGTTTGCGAAAGTATTTAAAGAGATGTATATAGTTCATCTAAATTTTGTGAATTAATTAATCATGAATTTTGCTTTTAAATGGCATACGTATAATACTTAGCATTTTGTTCACAAATCGCTTTCTTTCATACTTTTCCTATTTATAAATATAATTTTCCATTAAATTTTAGAATATATTTTCAAAGCTGTTGTCAGAAAATAAAATTGTTTACCTAAAAAAAATTTAAGGGAAACAAAAAAATGAGCTAGAATTCATATGCAAAGGTTTCTTCCTGAAATACCTGCCCATTGAATGAATCCAATTATTTCAAACCTGGAATATTTGACACAAACTGCCATGAAAGCATGACCAAGATTTCCTCTGAGCATTACATTAGACCAGTACCATTTTTTTTTTCTCCTCTGTACTGTGACATTTTTTGAAAAATGACAACATACTTCTATCCTCTGAATGCAGTGACTGTTTTGTGAGGTCTTGTATTCAGCATTCTTGGTCTTTAGTTCACCTGAACCATAGATTCAATGAACTTTTCTGGTATGAGTTTGTCTGTTGTCAATCTGAGTGTAAAATTTTACACAGATTTCTGTTAAACATTAATTTACTTTGAAAAAGTAGTCAGCAAACTGATCACAGTTATCATTTTTGCAGTTGTCATTAAAGAGATTTTTTTAAGCATGAATCAAATTCCAAACAGACAACTTGTTAACCTTTTCTTTTATGACTCTGTAGCTGAAATTGATACTAGCTGAACAGTTGTGAACTTAATTTGGCTGAACCCTTTTTGTTATATTTATTTAGTTAAAATACATAGCTGAATGGGTACAAATTTTGGCAGAATTACTTTTCTCTGGGTCTCATTTCAGAGTTTTTATTTAGGTAAAAATTAAATTTTTATGTCCTGCGAATTTTCTATTTGTTAGTAGATATGTACAGTCTAATGATTACTGAGATAATCTGGTTAGTGAACTCCATTGTGTCTTTGAGTGAGCATTGTGACTCCTGAGTCTCTTGTTCAGAATCCTGTAGAGAAAGCAGAAAGCAGATTTTAACTTTAAATTGTACATAAATGTAATATGGTCAAAACCTCAAAATGATCCTTACAGAGTTCTTGTTAAGATCAAAGGAGATATTCAGTTGATAATATATGTAAAATGTTATTTATAGAAAATTGCTGCTATCTGCTTCTGCGACATAACATATAATTCCCGGATTTTGTGAATGAACTTTATGCATTTATATTGTAGTCATTATGTGTTCTTTGAAAACATTTAATTCAGTATCTTGGACAGCCTTATTTTGATTTGTACTCTGTATAAATAAATATAAATCTTGATTTTGTTGCAGTGCCTGATGAGGAACCCCAAGGCCCCCAATTTAAGAAATTTCCCCAATCCAGAACTGTAGACGAGGGGGCCTCCTTCTCGGCCACCGCTAACCTAGACGACGTAGAATCTGGTAAGTCAAGAACGATTTTATATCTATGTAAAGAGCACCAGCAGAACTATTAGAACTACGATTCGCTCTATGAAATGTAGATAATGAAATACAGAAGAATGTTTTTTTTTTTTTCATCTCTAATACCATGTACATGTGGAATTGAATTGGAAGCACTTATTCTGTAATTATTTACCCCTGATAACTGAATCCAATGATATCTCAATTTTTTTTCTCAGACTCATTGAGTCCGAGATAACAAAGTTTGACTGTATATTTGACTGATTGCATTTACTTGTATCATTGATGAATGGTGAGGATATGATGTCTTCTTTTTCAGTTGTTTGGACCAAGGATGGTCGGGAAATAGAAGACACAGGTCGATTCAAATTCAGCCAAGATGGTAATTCTTTCACCTTCGAGATCCCTGCAGCCCTGGCCACAGACTCTGGTGTTTATTGTGCTAAGGCTACAAGTAGTAAAGGAAAGGCCGAGTGGCAGTTCACACTTGTAGTGCGAGTAAGTTCTTCCCCTTGTGCTGATATTGATGTTCTACAACTGATCAAGTCAATGCAGGTGAGAGGTCAAAGGTCACAGACAATTATACTGTAACCCATGGTTTCAAGGTCACTAGAATTGGAATTCTACTCACATCTAAAACTTGTCAAAATGGTATATTTTTTGGAAAAATACTAGGACTAAATGGAATTGTGATCAAAATTTTGTTCAACTCTTTAATATAATTTGGATTTTTATTCTCATTGAAAAGTTTCCATAAAAAAACAATTTCCTTTCTTGTTTTACATTTATGACGAGATCTGATGTGGAGAGAAGTAAATGGTGTATTTAGATATTATAAGAACCTTGAAACCACTATATAAGGAGAACCATAGCCTAGTTCTTTGTTATTTGTTTTAGGTAGCCTTCCTTAATTATAATTATTGCTAAACCCTATATGCTGGTATTTAATACAGATATGCATAATTTGCAACTAATTGATAATTCTAACAATCAACTATTTTGAAATATTTGTAGCACAAGTAGTCTAGATGATGTACTAGTATGTATATATATATTCTAAAAACTCACATATGTATCCTATATATATAATGAAAAGAAAAATCTACTTCATTTATATGCTAGACTGAGTAAGCTTATTGTTTTAAAAATCGTATTGTGTTCAACATTAAAGTATTGACATTATAATAGAGCTTGTCTGACCTTTAACCTCTTGTCTTTGCATGAACGTATTGTGTTTGCAAAATGTACCAGTAGTATGTAAGTATATTATATAATTATAAATGTTTAAATATTCATTCCTGTAAAAGAAATGTAACCTTTACAAGGACCATTTCAAATAATACATTTTTTTTGTTTTTTAAAACAGCTTATTAAATTTATCAGATATTAAGGATTGTAAAGGAAATTGTGTATATACTCTTATGCTCTGCTGCTTTGATTTTTAATACTTGATAATTTTCTATACAAAATTTTATTTCTACAGCAATGAAGTTTCTGCTAGTCATCATCACAGAAATTGTCCACTTGATTTTGTTTGCCAAAAGTCATGGATTCCATCCCCGTGATCATCAAATTGGTGAACCAGTTTAGGGTCTTTCTGATGATGGGAACCAGTTGACTGTACAGAAAGACAAAACATAAAATCGATGTGACTGTGCAAATATTGGCTGCAGACTTTGGCTTGTTTTGACTTGCATTGGAGATTTTCAAATCAATTGTATCTGATGAACTCTCATCAGAAATTCACAGACAGTTGTATGAGTTGATAAATGTGGAATGTTTTTCTCATGAAATGTTTTTTCTTTCTATTTTATCATATACAGATTGAATTTTAATATATTTAAATTATATTGTTGAATATGTGAAAAAAACCATTTACGTCTTTCATTATTGGTTTGAAGAGTTAAACTATATTTTCATTGTATATTTTTTATTTATTTTAATAACACAGCCCTATTTAACTGTAGGCTATTTTTTATTTATTTGTCTGTTACATAAAACAGCACAACAACTCGATAAATACGTGGAGAAAATCTCGTTGTATGAGGAATGAAAATCCATAATGTATGAACTGACAAACTGTAACGTATGAATTGACGTTTGGTCTTGTTTGTGATTTTTCGGAGAAAAGTTCACCAGTAGCTATTAAAATTTAATGCTTAGAGTGATGTGCTAATCCCTTCAAGATTCTTGTGCAGAATAAACCAAGTACGCAGCATGATTTTGTAGAAAAAAGAAATATAAAAATTGTTGCCCACTGTCAAGAGTAGATCATTGCTGTTGTACATGGAATTTCTCCATCAGGAATCTTGTATCAGTTTCCTCCCCTGCTTTGTACTCCATGACAAATGTTCACATATAAATGCTGTTTTCCACAAAACTCTTGTTTGTCATTCATGAGGAAATATGAACAAGTGAGCCACATCAAGTTACCTGTGCAAAGTGCATTAGGTCCAGAGAATGAAAATGGGAGGTAACTCAGTGCTGATATACCGTAGAGATGGTTATTTAACCCAGTGTTATTTTTGAAGGAAAGGAATCCATTGATCATTATTTCTTTATGGTATTCCAAGAAATATCAACTATGTTTAATGTATGAGTTACATCTGCGACAAGAAATGAGAAAATGTCTGGCTGGACTGGGAATCGAACCTGGAACCCCAGAATTACTAGTCAGGTGCTAGACTGAGCTCGATATCCACGGCCCAAACCATTACACATGTACAGGTGGTCGAAAGATTAAAGTATGCAATTCATTTTGACGTTACAAATGTTGAACACTGTTGAGGTGCCACGTTGTAAGCGAATATCAAAATTCACGCTTACACTGAACAGAAGCTGGTCACATGCTACACACAGATCTAGAAGTGGATATAGGATTGGGGAGCAGGCTCAGCCTTTTAAGCCCTCTACTTACATCAAAGTGAATACATAAATGATGATAGCAAATGCATGAATGTACAAAAAAAAAAGAAATAAGTAAACAAATTATACAGACTTTGCGCACGGTGTTGGTGTCAATTTCGGTAACGTCAAAATGACGCTATTTTACGTGATGACGTTACTATTTTCACTTACATTTTTGATAAAGGAGAAAATATAAACCCAGTATAATGTCGCAAAATATACAATCGAGTTCAATAAAATACAATCCCCTCTACAGTCGATCCAGAAACCGGGGGGGGGGGGGGGGGGGGGGAGGCAGACCCAAAGACCTCATCACGCTCGGCACTCGTTAGCAGATTCACAACGCATGTAAAATAAGGGAGAGGAGAATACTAAAATATTTTTTGAAGAAACACAAAACCTAGAATCTGAACCACATTGAAAAATACTGCAAATGAGGGAGGGGGAAGGGTCGATTCTCAGGTTCGTTTTCTCTCTTTTTTTTAAACTGAATTTTTTTAAAATAGTCAGATAGATCTACTGTAACAAAAAATACTCAGTATGAAAGGGTCTATGTGAGGGTGGGGGTTAAAGATGGTATGGGATAGGGACTTTGAACGAAAAGAAATTAATTCAGTGTTTAATCAGCAAAGTATCTACAATCATACAATGTACTGAAACAAAGGACATGTCTGATATGACATGGATTGGTTTGAATGTATCTCAATTAAATAAAAAAGCAGGTAAATTTAAAATGCGATGTCAAGTTCTGTAATTTCTACCGAGCTTTTTATTAAAAGAGGCAAATTGTGCACATACAATATGCATGTAAAATGGCAGAGAATTTAATTGCACGTGTTTTAAATGAACTCTATTGTATATTTTGCGACATTATACTGCGTTTATATTTTTCTTTTATCAAAAATGTAAGTGAAAAAAGTAACATCAAATCAATTTTATAACATCACGTAAAATAGCGTCATTTTGACATTACCGAAATTGACACCAACCCCGTGTGCAACGTCTAAATATATCCAATATGTCCTCTACAAAAATTTGAATAATTCAGTTAAAATTTGTATGTGACAAGAATTGTCATATACAAATCATAATTAAAACTGTCATATACAAATTTTGATTGAAAAATTTTAATTTTTGTACAAGACAAGTCTCATCATTGTAAAAACTTTAATGCCTTCTGGGCCCGAAATTAGAAAATAAAATTATCCTGTCTTATCTTATAGCAAACCCCCTTCATCGTACACATGTATTTAAATCCCATCCTCACCACTTTAGTACCACACAGGTCAAGTTACATCCTATATGAGTTTGAAAGGTATTGTTGTTTCACAAAACAGCAAGTCATCAGATTAAATCCGACCAGACTTAAAGTATGTCATTTCTTGTTCGTAGTAAGTGTTTAATTTATAACAAAAATAAAGTCATTAATGACACGGAAATACATGCATATTGAGCTATGACACAGGAGACTATCTTTCTGTTTTAAGAGAAAGTACAAATGGCAGCCAAAGAAATTGTTTTTGCGCAAGATTTTTTCAGATGTTCTTGCTGTGAACAGAATGTTCAATTTTTCTGCAAAACATGTGACAAGGATCTTTGCAAGGAGTGTGCACTCGAACACAGTGGAGAAAAACAAGAGGATTGTTCACATGAAGTGGTCCAATACAGTCATAAATACAAGTGTGATAGTAAAGAAATGGGTGGTCAGAATGTCGAGGTTGCACATATTGAAATGAAATTTGGTATACAGATTTATCAGCTGAACATCTAGGTCAAATTCTGTTTTGGGTACAATGGCACCATTTTTGTCAAAATTATGCCCCTTGAACATGGAAAAATTTCAATTTGGGAGAGGGGGGCATAAGTGTTTTACATACATCTCTTGTTTTTGCCCAGTGTTGATTTAGAAGGAAAGGAGTCCATTGATCCTTATTTCTTTATGGTATTCCCAAAAATATCAACTGTGTTTAATGTATGTATTACATGTGTAACAGGAAATGAGAAAATGTCTGGCTGGACAGGGAATTGAACCTGGGACCCCTGCATCACTAGTCAAGTGGTCTACCAATTGAGCTCATATTCACAGCCCAAACCATTACACATGTACAGGGGGTCAAAAAATTGAATTATGCAATTTATTTTGACGTTACAAATGTTGAACACCTTTGAAGTGCAACGTCGTAACGAAAAATCAAAATTCACGCTTACATTGAACAGAAGCTGGTCATATGCTACTCAAATGTCATATATGAATATATCATGAATACATAAATGATGAAAGCAAATGCATGAATGTACAAAAAAAAAAATAAGTAAACAAAATATACAGACGTTGCGCACGGTGTTTGTGTAAATTTCGGTAAAATCAAAATTACGCTGTTGTACGTGACGTTAGAAAATTAATTTGACGTTACTTTTTTCACTTACATTTTTGATAAAGGAAAAATATAAACCCAGTAAAATGTCGCAAAATGTACAATAGAGCTCAATAGAATGCAATCCCCTCTAGACCCAAAGACCTCATCACGCACGGCACTCTTTAGCAGATTCACAACGCTTATAATATGGGGGAGAGGAGAATACTAAGAAATTTTGAAGAAGCATAAAACCTAGAATCTGCACAACATCGAAAAAAAAAGCTTTAAGTGAGGGAGGTGTATAGCAAGCCAAATTCACAAAAATGAGCTAAACATAGTTTCACAGTTGATAAACTAAGGTTATCAGTTGTAAACTATAGTTAACGGACTGTAAACTATAGTCAACAACGTTAATCTATATTTTACATCTGTAAACCACAGTTAACGCGATAATCTATGTTTCACAACCGTAAACTATACTTAACACCGAAAACAATTATTTGCGATTGCAAAACATAGATTATCTGATAAATACAGTTTCACGATTTGTGAAACTATGATTAACAACTCTTAACTATAGTTTACGATTGTAAATTATAGTTTACAAACGTGAATCTATGTTTGTCAACAAAATCTATTGTTAACACTTTATTACGGACAGATAAACTTAGATTACATTCGTAAACTATATATAGTTAACAACCGTTAAATATAGTTTTACAAATGAAAACTATACTTAACGAATTGTTAACTATAGTTCACGGTTTGTAAACTATAGTATACAGTCGATAAACCTAGTTTATCAACTGTGAAACTATGTTTAGCTCATTTTTGTGAATTTGGCGTGCCATAAAGGTGGGAAGGGTCGATTCTCAAGTTCGCTTCCTTCCTTTTTGTTTAAACTGAATTATTTGAAATATATTTAGATCTATTGTAACAAAAAACGGTCAATGTGAGGTTAGGGGTTAAAGATTGGATGGGGATAGGAACTTTGAACGAAAAAATAATTTGATATGTTTAATCAGCAAAGTATCGACATGCAGTCATTTAACGTACTGAAACAAAGGACAGGCACTGATATGACATGAATTTGTTTTGAATGTATCTCATTTAAATAAAAAGCAGGTAAAGAAGATGGGGGGATAAGGCGGGCAGAATGCCTATAGCGTCAGATATTAAGAAATCTCATTTGATATGTAAATTGAGTATTTAAATTTACTTCTCATTATTGAAATTTATGAAATCATGAAAAAAAAAATGTCTGAGAGAAAAAAATCTCATTAAAAAATTTTATTTCTAAAATTATTAGATGGGGATTCGAAGACCCAGCAATAAAATACCGAAATATCATACTGCTTTGAGACTAACGCGCTAACCACTATGCTACATGGCTCATGAAGATTAGGGGCATTTAAATTATGTTTGTGATATGACCCTTGACTTAATGGACTTGAAGTATTTCTCGGAAAGATGAGAATGTTTTGTCACAAAAGTGTACTTTTAAGGTATAGTGGGTCTTCGCTCCATTTTTTGTAAACCAAAAAATATTTATTTTATCGCAAACTTTTAGGATTATCTTTCAAATAGAATAGAGCGAAGACCCACTCATATTAAAAAATTTTGTTAAAGTATGAAAAATGATCGTTTTTGTTCTTTTAAGTTTGTGTATGCTTTTTTATAGGCAAATATTTTCAGTCTTTGTGAGATTTTTGTAAATTATAGAGATTTTACATTAAGTATACTTTAATATTAGGTGAAATATTAAATAAAATTTGGATATAATTGAGATTAAATTTTTCACTGTTTATCTGTCGCGATATAGGCATTCTGTCCGTCGTATCCCCCCATCTTCTTTAAAATGCGATGTCAAACAAATTTCTTAATTTGTTCTTCCGAGCTTTTTATTAAATGAGGCAAATTATGCACATACTTCCCTCCCACAATATGCATGCAAAATGGCAGAGAATTTAATTACATGTGTTTTAAATGAACCCTATTGCATATTTTGCGACATTATACTGGGTTTATATTTTCCTTTATCCAAAATGTAAGTGAAAAAAGTAACGTCAAATTAATTTTCTAACGTCACGTAAAATAGCTTCATCTTGACGTTACC